TTGTTGTATGTCGCTGTTGTTGTATTTCACTGTTGTTGTATTTCACTGTTGTTGTATGTCACTGTTGCTGTATGTTACTGTGTCGTATGTGTGCATTATCGCGACATCATTGATTTTCGTACATTTTCTTGGAATGAAACTCATCTAACTATTGGCAGCTAAAGAATGAATTGTATTCTACTCATTAATAAATTAGGTACTGGGCACTCTGAGCGTCTAAGTGGGTCACGCTCGCGTGTTATTATTCTACATACGGAGGAAAAAAGTTCAATACATTTTTAAAAATTGTGTCTAGCCTCTAGATTCTAGATGGTAATCTATCTTTCTTGTGCTAGATTCTCCAACTGTCCCCAGTGGTAACCCATCTTTCTTGTGCTAGTTTCTCCAACTGTCCCCAGTGGTAACCCATCTTTCTTGTGCTAGTTTCTCCAACTGTCCCCAGTGGTAACCCATCTTTCTTGTGCTAGTTTCTCCAACTATCCCCAGTGGTAACCCATCTTTCTTGAGCTAGTTTCTCCAACTGTCCCCAGTGGTAATCCATCTTTCTTGTGCTAGTTTCTCCAACTGTCCCCAGTGGTAACCCATCTTTCTTGTGCTAGTTTTTCCAACTGTACCCATCTTTCTTGTGCTAGTTTCTCCAACTGTCCCCAGTGGTAACCCATCTTTCTTGTGTAGCATCTAGTTCATATCTACAAAAACGTTGTTTTTTTGTGTCTGCATCTTTAATTTTTACTAAATTAACCTCTCCGTTACGTTACTCACCGCCCCATCCTTGCTCATGGGTGCCCGGGGTTTTTACCCCCGTTCACCTCCTTTAGTAACGCCACTGATGAAAACACACAGTGTATGCTGGTTCTCAATGACGAATTCTTTGTTCCAAAAAACATAAAACATACACGCGTGTGGGACAACAGCTGAAGGCTCTCTCGTCGTCTGTTTGTATTTTAACCACGAGTTAATTACCCGATGGATCTATTTGAATAATGAGTGTAGCTGGCTCGTGCCGGCGTGTTAACACACCCAGTTGTTGCGATATGACGTGTTCTTTTCCTACAAACACCGCAGGGATTTTATTAGACGTTATTTATTATCCTGTATAAAAACCAGTTAGATTCTATATATATTTTTTATCGCGTGTGATATGCTATGTGTACTTAATCCTACTTTGAGGCTGACTTATTTATATTTCTTTCGTTTGACAGATGGCAACTGTCACAGGACTCGTGGTGAGCGCGAGACACGGACCTTCACGTGTCAACACACGCGCCGGGGTTTTCAAGGGAAATAATTATTAATACCTAAAAGGGAAGTAACAAGGCTTTGTTTCAATCGTGTGTTTATATTGTGTAGCATATGTCCCATTCACTCTGTTTGCAGGGATATGTTGGTGAGTATTGTCGGGGGAATATTTTAATTAAACATGGCGCCTGATCAGATACATGTTTTTCATTAGCTTGTGATGTTCTATATTTATTTTTACGAATGTTATCATTTCCTATAGCACGGTATCCGGGGTTCTAAATTATTATTTTTGTTTTGTTTTTATTTGATAGTTACTAGATCTAGATTCTATGTAATATTTTGTTTTTATAATGGTAGGTTTGCATTAATTTAATCCGTTTTTACTATTTCACTTTCATTAGTATAATTTTATTATTTATTATAGCTAGTCTATACATAATAATATATCTATTCAAATTAATATTGGTGTAATAAAATGTGTCCGGAGACTCAAGGATCCCGATATGTAACAAGAGATTTGGTTGGCTCATTTTTTGATTGTTGCTCAGAAAGCCGCTGCCATTGGACGGCGCTCGGGCTACAATCAAACACTGACGCTGGCTAGAAAGCTGCAAATGACGACAACACCGGAACTTTGATCCACAAACATCAAACCTGACTAATGAATATGTTGCTGTTAAAAAATACATTTTTGTGTGTGTTTGTAAACAAAAAATTTGTCGTCTTTATGCAAAAGAAAAATTAACCCTGTTAATTGCTGACTCTGTAATTATTTTCTTTAACTAACAGCAACAAGCTGGCAAATCTAAAATACCTGGTCAGTTGAAAAGTTCTCCAAATATGAACATTATGCTTTGACACTTTGCATGGGTTCACTAAGTATAGCTAAAAATATATAGAAAGGTACCTCCCAACTTTTTTTTTCTTTTTTTCTTTTTGTCAAATGCAATGCTAACAGTTTTTCAGAATTTTTATAAGGGAAATAACCCTTAATCGAATTCCCAAAATATTTTAAAGTTGGGGTTACTTCCCTTTCTTCAGTATTACATGGATTACACACCTTTTTCTTGACAAAATATTTGCAAAACTCGAAAAATATATACTACGGACTCATTTTTCAAATGTAAAAACTAATGTTTTTCACTTCTTTCTCAACACAATACACAGATGATGCCTAATCCTGATCCAAAGAGTTGCCTTCAGTACTGGTGAGCCGAATTCAAGATGGTTGCTGTCTACACGAAAACTATGATTTGCAATTGTTAACACTATATTGTTCTCAGTAATGTCTTTAATTGTTACCTCATGACCACGGTTTTGTTATTAGTAGAAACACTATCACTCTTGTATTAATTAAAAACCATTATAGAATTTTAGAAATAAAGATTATGTTACATTTTTTGTGACTATGTAAATGTAATGGTTTAGTTATGAAATATTTTTTTCCCTCTTTGAATCACCTTGTAACTGCCATTTCCAAGATCATTAAACCACAAAACAATTTCCAATCGGAGTTCCAATTTTTAACAAAAAAATAAACATAGGACAACATGAGGCAGATCAGTGAGATATGTAATTTTATTTATCAGAATGTTACAGCCTTTTTTTTAAACATAAATCTTGTTAATTATATCTTATTTTTTAAATTTTATCAGCTGGGTCCTATTTAACTTGCTTGATTAACAAAAATAAAAAATCTCATTACATTGCTTTATCACATCTTTACCTCATACACTTGAATAATAAAACCTAAGCACCTGTGCAATTCATTACCTCATCAGTACTTACACTAGCTCTACTTTTTAAAATGGTCTTTTAAAACACAAGGAAATCTTCAGTTACTGTGACAATCACTTGACAAAAAACACCAAGGTTCTACACTCACTTCACAATAAAACATCAAGACTCTAACATCAAATTCAAAATGCAATTAATTACAACTGGTTGCTCTAAAAAAAGAAATGACACTGGTTTTTTATTCAGCCATGGGGTGGTATTGCTTCAAGTTTATGAAAACAACAAAAGGATCTTTCTTTACAGTATATCAACAAAGAATCTGATGGGTGATGGAAGATAAATGATGCAGGATACAATTGATACAGGGGTTAAGGTCTTGAACCAGCTCAATCTGGCCAGGCTAGAAAGACAATCATTAAGTCATCCCTGACATCAATGCTACCAGCAGCTACACAGTGGGGCTAACCTTTCTACCCCAGCCCAATGTTGGGTTCTGCTTGTGTACAGTGTTCTCATGTTGTTACCTAATGGGAATGGGACCCACAGTTACCTGATGGGACCCACAACTACTGCTTGTATAAACTGCACTCAGTTACTTCTCCAGTGCCCCCACCCCCAGCAAGCCCTCTTACCCCCCCCCCCCCCTCCCCCACAGGCTTGGTACTGCTGACAAATAAACTGGTTTCAGGTAATGCAGTGGACCCTCACCTCATTGTTTACAATGAAATACTGAACTATAAATAAAACACAACTGTCATGTCTTTGCAGTCTTGTAGTGTTGTGAAACTTAAAATAACATAAACTGGGTCTTACAGTATTGGATCTTACATAATTCCATTATAGTTATAAAAACTGGCAATTATTGGGTCTTACAGTATTGCTATCACCACTTTACCTAATACCATTATAGTTATAAAAACTGGCAATTATTGGGTCTTACAGTATTGCTATCGTCACTTTACCTAATACCATTATAGTTATAAAAACTGGCAATTATTGGGTCTTACAGTATTGCTATCACCACTTTACCTAATACCATTATAGTTATAAAAACTGGCAATTATTGGGTCTTACAGTATTGCTATCAACACTTTACACTAACACTATTATTTTTATAATTTTAAAAACCGTTGCAATTATTGGGTCTTACAGTATTATTTAACACAAATTAATCAAAATGTTTGACTGGACCTTAAATATATGTACCAAATTAATCAAAATGTTTGAACATGGTACACACACACACTAACTTTGTAATGTAAACAACAGTCAGTGAAGATATTAATAGAATTTTTCTTAGAAAGTTTTCCAAAAAAAAGTCAGTCAGCTAAGACTTAAAAAATAATTTATTTAATATCAATGTGGGCCTGTTTATGTACCCTGAAGTGTGTGGTAACTTATTCTTTTAGAATCATGATACATGATGTAAGGGTGTTTGACAGCGATGAGATCCACCTACAGGATAAAGTTTTAAGTTGAGACAAACTGGTCATTCAAGCTAAGGGCTTCGTGTCATTTTTTAATTCATTCTCATACTTGTCATATTTTTGCAAATGGCTGGACGAAGAAACTGTCACAACTGGCAAAGACCTTATTTCTTACAAAACAACTACAGGCATTTCATGTGGTTTAGAATACAACCACAGGCATTCCATGTAGTTTATAACATAGATGTGGCATGTGTGTAATACTTGTCTGATTGAATAAGATAAACATTTAGCAAACATTTTACTTCATCAGCTTTGTACTCTATTATTTGAATAGCAGCAGCTCCAAACATTTCAAAAGGCTTAACATTGAATTAGCCCTAAATTTTTTTATAATGTTTAAAATGCAGACCTAATTAAAAAAAAATTAACAAAAAAGAAATCCCCAGGGGAGGAGGAAAGTATGCCGGCCCCAGGGGGAGGAGGAAAGTATGCCTGCCCCAGGGGGAGGAGGAAAGTATGCCTGCCCCAGGGGGAGGAGGAAAGCATGCCGGCCCCAGGGGGAGGAGGAAAGCATGCCGGCCCCAGGGGGAGGAGGAAAGCATGCCGTCCCCAGGGGAGGAGGAAAGTATGCCGGCCCCAGGGGAGGAGAAAAGTATGCCGGCCCCAGGGGAGGAGGAAAGTATGCCGGCCCCAGGGGAGGAGGAAAGTATGCCGGCCAAGGAAATCCTCGAAGATAGTAGAAGAGACAAGGGCTGCCGGGCTTACGTGGGTGCAAATAAAGAGAGCTGCCCAAAACAAAGTCTGATGAAGAGGTGTGGCTGCAGCCCTAACCTCCCCTGGGACCACAAAGGAATATGTGAAGTGAATTTGTTGACTAGAAATATGATTGCGTTTTTAACTAATGAGATTTTACTGAACAGTACAGCTCCACCAGTTTTTAAGGCTGCCATTACTAACCAACAGTTATTTCAAGGATATAAATCTCCTTTAATCACCTACATAGCACCACCATGCTGTAGAGAGGGTTTCTCAATGTAAATTTAAATATAACCATTAATATTATGTGAGATGTTGTGGGTCAGAAGATGGGGATTCTGGGTTATCTAATACATAAGGGTTATCTAATACATAACAGCCCCTTAAATACTAAGCTTAATAATTAAATATGTCCAGTCTGGGGGAAAACAATGTCATGTTTTTTCTGTGATCTAATGTGTGTACAGGCAGTTGGGCTTAATTACAACTGTATAAATAAGTCCTGTGTTAGTTCTGTGTTAGTCATAAGGTTTTGGTCTTCCAAATCTAAAACAAGTGTCAACAAAATGGCTGTGTAGCAACAGACATATAAGGTAGAGTAAACACACACCTGAATCAAAAAGTTAGAAACTTGCAAGTCTGAAGTATAAGAGAAAACAAGAATAGAAATTTAAAATACAGGTTGTTTTAAAACATGATTTTAAAAAAAAAAAACAGTTCTGTCTAAAATAAAATGTTAGTTTAAAAGTTACATTATAATCAAAAATGAGAAACAACTCATGCAACAAGTTATGGAATAAGGTAAACTTTTTTTTACATGAACAAGTTTATGTAAAAAGAAATAATTAAATAAAATAGCAACAAATATCAATAGGTTAGCCTTATCCAGAAGAAAAAAAAAATTCCAAAAAATATGGAAAATAATCGCAAATCTAAAAGAGCAAAGAGAAAAAGCTTTAAAAACATCATCTTTGGGCAACTTTTAATGTAAATTTTTAAAATTTGGTTTACATGCACCTATAGAAACATGACTACATATAGAGCAATTCTGTCCAAAAAAAAAAAATAATAATTTACATTTTGTAAAATGGCATCAATTTAAACCACAGGATATCAATAGCAACAATACTGAAACTCTGCATATACACACATCAACAGGTAGATTGGTCAAAAACTGACAAAACATGGCATGTTAACAACAAAAAGCCAATCTGGCAAGAGTATTCTCTTTTACAAAGCAAGTCGCAGCAAACTTCATTAGAAAACAGTAAGATATGTAAAAAAAAAGGGTAAAATAACCCAATTATATTGTAACACAAATATCCATAATTAACATTAACAAAATACATGTGTGTGTGTGTCAATATACAGAATGTACAACACTGAGTGCTACCTAGAGCTGCCAACTTTTAGGCGACTAAAGTCAACTGTGATCCTCTTTTTAAATGGATATGTCGATTTTTTAAATAAAATAATGAAATCATATTTTTTAAATCAAATTTTTCAAAACATTTTCAACATTTTAAAACAGCCTTTTAGTAGCTCTAGCTGGGAAATAGTTCAACTGTATTAACTGTATATTATGAAAAATGTTAAATACCTAAACTAATCTAAAGATTTTTTTTTAATTTATAACTTTTTTTGTAGCTTTAAGAATGATACCTTTAATTTAGCTTTTTCAAAATAAAAAAGGTTCAACTGAAATGTTAATGATTTTTGTTGGCAGCTCAGCAGACCAGTTTAGACCTATTTTGATAACCAGTCTTTAACTGGGTAAAATCTCGTAAATGCAAGTCAAATTGGGAACTCAGAGACACCCTCGGTACATTTGTTCAAACATCACTCCATTCAACTGGAATAAAACCCCAGAAAGGATGATGTCTTGTTTTAATACATTTACAAAAATACTGTTCCTATGCTTTAAAAAAATATTCCGCTTCAGAAAAAAAATTGATAATTTTACACACAAAAACCAGTGATCATAAATTCATATTTAAAAATTATAATAAATGCATATACATTCTATTAATATCTTATTAAATATTCATGTCAAATAAATTAATTGAAACAAGCAAATTATAATTTTATTTTATTTCTGTACTGCTTTTCTCCAAATACAAATGTAAGCAGGATATTTTACTGTCCGTCCCTTTCTCTGATAGATATAAGTTAATGATTCCAAATCCGATCCTTCCTCACAGCCCTGATTGTTGGCATCAGCAGATATTTGACACTAGAAAACTACAAGAACTTACACATTGGGGTGAAGATTGTCTCTGTGGAACAGTGGACACGCCAATGTGCTAACTACCACTCCCACAACAGGGTAGCCAGGCTTTGCCCCCCAGCAAGGACCGACTGTTTAAGTTAATGTTGCTGTGTTGGCCGGGGTCCATGTTTGCATCATCACCAAACCGTCTTTTGAGTTCCTGAAAAAAGTTTTTTTTTTAATTATTACTAGTCTAGGTTATTTTGGAGCTTCTAGATTCTACTAACAAAAATGACAAAATAATACCAACAACAATTAAATCAAATTATACCAAACAAATCAGAAATAATAATTTTAACAAATTTTGTATTTAATTAGCTAGCAATTTATGCCTATGAAGCACATTTTTACTATCACAAATTTAAATAAAACAGGAGTGTTCTCCCCTAAACTTTCACGTATATTCTATTTTACAGTAAGGTAGAAGGCACTTCCAGTGCAATCTGAGTAATCTGAAGATAGAAATGTTTTGTATTAATTTTTCTTATGACTGAAATTTTTTTAATAGAATAAAATCGAGTAGAAAAAAAGAATTGCACACCAATTGGTACACCTATTTGTAAAATTTTGTTCATCTAACTGTAACTTATTTTGTCTGTATTTTACAAAGCAAATAGAGTTAAGTACCACTTCCAGATAATGTAGGTCACTCAGAATTTGAGAGTAATCCAAGGATAAGATCTTATGTATGAATTTTTGTTTACCTAACTGAAACAGTATTCATCTTATAATGTTCCCAAGAAAATAGAGTGTACAAAAGTTTAAAGGAATTTTTGCATGCAATTGCAATCTAATAATTATATTTGAAATTGTGTCTAGCTAGCTTAAACAGTATTCAAATTATCAGCTTTTGAGAGACAGGAAGATTAGTGTGTATCACTTTACATTACTGGAAGTCATTCAAAAGTTGATAAAAAACTACATTTAATATTTGTATATGAAATTCTGTCCACATTAAGTGAAAGATGCTCAAGTTATCGTGTTTATTGATAGAATGGTTATAAAATGCCAAAAATGTCGAAATCTCAATTTACATTTTTAGAAGGATAACAATGCATCCTTTAAATTCCAGTGATACAGTGAGGTGTAAAACGACAAAAACTTAAAATTTCATTTAATTTTTCTGCAAGATTTTAATACTTTCACTATTCTCTGTATACAAAGAAAGTAAAGTCAATGCAGTAACACTCTCCCTTTTTTTTCGCTGTTCATTTGTTACTTCCCCTTTTTTCTTTATTATACTGTGATCTAAAATACAATTTTTTTTAATTTATTAAACATTACATCAAGTCAACATTTTTATAGAATATTGCATAGGAGATGTAAAAATTGATTGCAATATTCCATCTAGAGATGACAGGTGATGAAGAAGCAAGTTAAATAAAAAAAAAAGCTTGCAATAAAATTTTACTTCAATGCCAAAGGATAAAGACACTGAAATAATACTTTATGTACCAAATGCTAATTCTACTAACAAAGGCTATTTCTGTTTAAGAACTATACTTGTCTTTATATGAACCTTCCATCAATGATAGAGCAGTAGATTTAAAATTTAATTCTTATCCCTTATGCTAAGGCAGCTATTATAAAATATTTGTAAGAACACTGACTTTAGCCATTTTAAGGAATGTGTCATCAACATTGGTGTTCTCTTTAGCGCTGGTCTCAACTGCCCCAATAAAACTCTGAGAATGTGCCAAGGCCTTGGCCTCTGCTGCGCTCACTTCTCGCAGGCTGTCCAGGTCACATTTGTTTCCTGTTATCAAAACATTCACATTGATGAAAAAGGTATCAAATTAACAAATTATGTAGCTAAAGTTAACACTGAAAACTCGAGGAGACCCACCAACTAGTAGTTGCACAACATTAGAGCCAGCATATCTTTTTACATCGTCCAGCCAACGTGGGATGGCTTCAAAGGTTGTTCTTTTGCTTATGTCATAGGCAATTATAACACCATTAGCACTTCGATAATAGCTTTGGGTTATTGTCCGAAATCTCTCCTGACCAGCAGTGTCCCAGATTTGTAGCTGTCATGATTAAAATGAGTTGACAAGTTAAATAATTATAAGAGAACTCCTTGATAATTGTTTGTTTATCAAGGAAAGTTTCAAAATAATAGTTATTAAAGAACAATAATCAACCTACACATTTTGTAAATTAAATATTTAATAGTAATAGTAACTATATTGAGCACAGAGTAAACTAAATTAATTATTCATGTTTATTTAACATTACTGAAATATTTTATAGAGGTCTTGTAAACTCTAATGCTGTTTTTCTTGTGCCCAGTGTACAATTATTGTGCTTATGTCTTTCAATATGTAGGAAATGAACATTGACAGCATTTTAGATTGGGACCTAGTCAGCCCATGGTCTGCCTCCACCAATAAGTTCAATGTAGAAAGCTGCATGTATTCAAATTATTTACCAAACATTATAAAATCCATCTTATTATAACTATTCATTATAACTTTGAACTGTAATTCTTATAATTTTGATAAATTTAATGTGTATCATATTTTAGCTATTACTTTGAGATTATTTTTTAGCTCATATTCATTTATTAGAGTTCTACCATTATTATTGATGCCGTTTGATAAATGGCAATTTTTAATATACCTTTAATGAGTTTTAGATATTGATACTTAATGGCATTCAAGATTACCTTCTAGATTTGACACTTAAAAACATTACCTTCTGCACCTGACTAACATTGATATACTTGACTATTACTAATTTACTTAGACTAAATCAATAACACATACCAAAGTCTAATAGAGGCTGAAATAGATTCTTAACCATTTTTATAAGTATAATGGGAATTAAAATAGGCTATAGGCTAGTTAATATTAATTTAAATTTTCTAACATCATAAAGCTGTTAATTCCTGTGAACAAGTTTCCTCATGGCATAGTCATACCTCCACCCACACTCTTGGTGCCTTTTCTGAACTTTTCTACTTCACCTTGTTGTCAAAGACCGGGGATTCCAACTAGTGTGATACCGATAGTTTTGACCAAAGAATATGAATACAGCTAACAAGTAATTTTATTCCATTTTAATTTTATTGCATTATGCATACTGATTGCTTGCATACTCTGTGCGCAGCGGAGAAGCTTCTTCTGTCGCAGCGGAGAAGCTTCTTCTGTCTTCTGACAAGTCACGTCGTAAAAAAATAAGACAACAAATCATTTAGAGATCTAGATTCTAGATCTTACACATCACAAACCTTAACAAGTTTTCCATCTATATTGAGTGTTTTCATTGTGAAATCAACTCCTATTGTGCTGCCATGCTTTTCTGTGTAAGTTCCAGATTTAAACCGTTGAACGACACAAGTTTTTCCTACACCAGCATCACCGATTAGAACTATTTTAAAAAGATAATCGAAAGATTCGTCCGGATCGTTAGCGGAATGATAGGCCATTATTTATGACTGTTAATATATTATACACTAATAGTTACAATTTTGAAGTACTAATTTAATTAGAGTGGCTACAATTTAAAAGATTAGTCATGTTTATTTTTCTTTGCTATCGTAGACATTGTTTTTAACGGAAGAGGAAGTGGCAATAGTAGTGTAAATTTATTTATTAAAAAGTACGATTCGTTTATATTTTTAAAATTATTTTATTTTGAAAAACCGATGATATAAATAGTTTATAGATAAAAGCTTGATGTCAGCACAACGTGACATAAATTAAGTTGTTGGGCCTATACAAGAAAGGCAAATTTATATGACAGCAGGCTTGTAAAACTCTCCCACTCCATTGACGTTTAACATTTTAGATTATTTTAGATCGAGATAGGCCTATCTTCTTAGTATTAAAGGCTAATATAAACATAACGTTTCGAATCAAACTAACCATATTAATAAAGTGGGCTTTCAAAGAAATGACATGCAGTTATTGTCCTTCAGCCCCCGATAATGATAGATAAAATCATATCTAATTTATAATTAGTTTTTGTTCAAGGACAGTCAAACAGGTTAGCGTCATTTTATCAACGGGAAGGGCAGGAGTAAAAAGACTAATCTAGCACTTTTTAATCACATTTGAAGTGGGGGTTTTTCCCTTATTTACATAACATGTTCGGGCGATGTGTTTCAGGTGTTAGGCCTTTATCTAGATTCTAAACAGACTTTACCGTATGGTCTAAAATAATTTTAATTTCCACCGTTATGACACTTAACCTATTGCATACAATTTGATTTTGAGCGAGTAAGTTGTTACTTGAGATTATGTGGGATTAGAGTAAGTGGCTTAATGAACAATTGCTTTTTGCAAGAATATACTTACAATTCTCAAGCGTAGAGTTTCTCCCAGGCATCTCTTCGGGTAAGGTGGGCGACCCCCCCCCCTCCCGGACGAAATGGAATTTATATAGAAAATATATACTTTTAACAGTACCCCCCCCCCCCCCCAGAGAAAAAAGTCGGGAAGAAACGCTGCTCAGCGGGTGAGTGTTTCGGACATTTAGGGCACCGTTTGTAAGAGGAATTAGCCTCACACCCCACCCCTACACATCCCCATACTGGTGCTGATGACAAGTACAGTACAGCCTATTTCATGGGTCTCCAAACTTTTCAGCCCGAGGGCCGCATTAACTGTCAAGTATCAGTTCGGGGGGACAGAGTTTCTTCCAGGCATCTCTTCGGGGTGGTAGCGCCCCCTCCCCTGAAGGACGTGTACCCCCCCCCCCTTAACGAAATAGAATTTATATAGAAATATATACTAATTTTAAGTGCCCCCCCCCCCCCGGAGAAAAAAGTCTGAAAGAAACACTGCCGATGGCCAACAACACACTCGAGGTCCAAGTTTGCTCTCAAATTATTCTTCACGTATTTCAATTTTGAAAATATTTTTTCACACAGGTATCTTGTTCCAAAATTTGAAAGGTAGTTTGATGCAAAAATTTTAATATTAGGAAAATCTTCCTTTTGCAAAAACTTATAAAAACCCACGCGCCCTTCTTTGAGTGTGTCTAATGACCTCCAGCTGCAGTTCACCTTTGCAACTGGCCACATTTGCTTCAAATGGGTTCTGAAACAGTCTCACTTTTTTCTGCCTTTGAATCCAAGTCAAAAAACCGCAGCTTGAAGTCTTTGATGATCTCGTATGCACATGACGAGGGTAACTCAGTGGTTGCTTCAGCCTAAAGACCTTGCACTGCTGAGTGTGCGTTAAGTTGTTGGCTTGTACTTGTTCCAAAAACATGACAAGTTTGGATCTGAAAGCCTTTAGGTGGGTGTATAGATCAGAAAATAAATGTCCATCTCTTGTAGTTTTAGGTTCAGAAAATTTAAATGAATAGTTATGTTTGCAGCAGAGGCCAATTTCTATACCTACTCTTCATCAGACAGTAAGTGCATCAGCTTGTGGCTTGCCTTTACTTTCAAGGAAGTCACCTATTTCCTTTCTTAACTTAAATACTCTGCTCAGAAAAATTTCACGCAAATTAGCCATTTTACTGCTGTGAAACATGGTAAATCTTGCGATTCTGTGTTTCTATCTTTTAAAGTGCCTCTGAACTATCTATATTCTCTCCGGTAACAGTGCTATACATTCTATGTAGGGAAGCCAGCTCTTGTGTTATGTTTATGTCTTCATCCACACCTCTAATGAACACAAGCAGTTGATATGTGGAACAGCTGTCCAGCAACTGATCCATTTCAATTAAAAAATTGCGAAACTTGCTTTCACGGTGGGCAATGGTATTTGCACCCAAAGCTACCTTTTCAAATTGCTTTGACTTTTCTGGACATAGTTTCTCAGCCACCTCTAACAAACATTTATACCGTGGACAAAAAGATCGCCGCGGGCCGGATGAGAGGACCTCGCGGGCCGCATCTGGCCCACGGGTCGTAGTTTGGAGACCCCTGGCCTAGATCTATATACTTAAGCTTGCTGATTGTAAGTATAAAGGCCTATACTATATCTTGTAGGGAGCATAGAAGTTGAATGGGCCACACCCAACCCCCATCCAAGTGCTAAAAATCTCTGATTGTAGTCTACAATTAAAAAGTGTGTCCCCATCCCAATGCTGAGGACAGATATAAACAGTGTTTCTTCCAGACTTTTTTCTCCGGGGGGGGGGGGGGGGGGGGGGCACTTGAAATTTTCGGGGGGGGGGGGGCGGACACTGTTAAAAGTATATATTTTCTATATAAATTTCATTTCGTTCGGGGGGGGGGGGTAGACTTCTAGCCCCCCCTACCCCCCCCCCCCCCCCCCCCCCCCCCGAAAAGATGCCTGGAAGAAACTCTGGATATAAAGTCTCTGGTAGTTATCGAGCTATTTGACTATTCTTATAATTTGAAGACATCGAAATCCGCAAGTGGGGAGGTGGGAGGTTTGGGCATGCGACGAGGAGAAGACAGGCAAACATCGCCGAGCTGGCAGTAATCTATCCGTAGCGAATGGGGAAAATGGGCAGATCGATCATGGGACGTTACGGGTCACACTGAAGAGAACCACCCAAGAACTGAGTTCGTTGGGAAAGTGTACTTGTAGACCTTCGCTCCACGGAGGTGTCACAGGACTAAGACAAGACATTGTTTTGAAATTGTTTGAAACACCGTCCCCAATCGCTGTAACTTAACAAAGCTCATTTAAGGGGTTAACGTGTGAGTAGTTCTGGACCACCCCCACACCCAGTTTTTTCCAGGCATCTCTCCCCCCCCCCCCCCGAAGAAAGTCTACCGCTATGCTATCCCTCGCCATCATTAGGAAAAAAGTTTACCCCCACCTCACCCCACCCCCGAACGAAATGGAATTTATATAGAAAATATATACTTTTATATATACTATATATATACTTTTACCAGTGTCCGCCCCCACCACCGAAAATATCAAGTGCTCCCCCCTCCCCGGGAAAACAAAGTGTGAAATGTCTGAAAGAAACACTGATCTACATACATGACACCATGTTGATCTCATTGTGCTTTTTCACATTCTATTTTTATAACTAGACATTTCAATAGCTCTGGTTTCAACATTCCCTTTGCCGTCTTGTAAAGGCACATTGGTTAACTATTTACTTAGGATACTTTACTATTGAGTGAAGTAAAAATGCATCGTCACGGTCATATATTATACAGTGTTTATACATGTATTACCAATTGTTCGCCTTGTCTTCTGGTAATTAGGCCTTTTCACCTCGGAGGAAAAGTTCAAGGAGTGCTGATTAAATAGTTGTTTTTTTTAACAATGTAAGAAAAGAGATAATTTTTTATTGATTATCTGATGAATGGACGATCGATAGATCGATAAATTACCTCCCACGTCTCTACAGTTAGATTCTTCTTGCCAAGCCTAAAATGAATCGACTAAAGCCGTTCAATACCGCTTGTTGAGGCACCGCAGTCGAGGCTACAACTCCCGGCTTGCAAGAAGAACTACGACAACTCACATGTGTGTGTGTGTGTGTGATGTGTTTAGTGTGATGTTGATGTGTGTCAGCGTGTGTATGTGGTGTGTGTGTGTGGTGAGAGTTGGGTGTGTGTGTGTGATGTGTGTCTGCGCGTGTGTGGTGTGTGATTAGTGTCTGTGTGTGATGTGTGTGTGCGTGTGCAGGGGCGGATTAAGGCTGAGTGGGGCCCCAGGCTGAAATTTTTTGGGGGCCCCATATATATATATATATATATATATATATATATATATATATATATATATATATATGCGTGTGTGTGTATGTGTGTGTGTATGCAATGAAACGAAAAACAATAAGTAAACAAATGCTAATGAAAATACGCTAGTTTTCCAAGATATTACAAAAAAAATTCAACTGATGGGGGATTTAGCAAAAGAATTTATACACGTTAGCCTTTGTATTGGGTGGCTCTCTCAGTATTATCTAAGCCACTGAAGCTTGGATATACGCTTAAACATGTGAAAAATAAACAATTCTAAATTCATCGGCTGGGGCGCCGGCGGGCCCGCCTGATTCAACTTAGTAAACGACTATTATACCCCTACTTATCCATAAAAGAAACAAAAGGCAGTATTTAAAATATCCGTGTTTTACTTATCACAGTGCATTTCATCAATCCATGCTAATTATAATATTCTAACAATAATGTCCCCTTTTACGTCCGCATAATTTACATTCACATTTTATTATTAGCGTGAGTTGAATTTATTTTTAAATTAACCTTCCCTGTCAAAAGTATACAATATTTTAATTAATTAATTTTTTGACACTACTGTTATTAAAAAAATTTGTCAAAAATTTTCTAGTTATCTAAGCGAAAGTATTATTTGACATTGGTCCATTTAATATCTTTTAGAAACGTGCGTTTATTTAATATTTTATTTACGTTATGCGAAAGAGTAAATACAGTGACAACTATACAAAAAAATGTTAGTCGTTATTTAAATAAAATCTATATATGTATTATAATTAGTCACTGCGATGCAAGTAAAAAGCACATGTGTAGAGTTGACTTTTTCGGTTCCAAAATCTCTAGCAATGATAGAAGGAATGACTACCGGTAGTGAACTGGACTGCTAACCCGTAAGTCTCGAGTTCGAATCCGGGTTTTAAGTCAGGAGACCGTACCTGAGTCCACATAACTCTGCTGGGTACCTAACTCACGTTAGGGGAAACAAATTACAACTAATTTTACAGTAACAAAAATGTGCCTACAAAGTGGTAGAGTTAAGTTTGATATGCAGAAAAAAAAAGGAAGGACTACCATCAGCTTTATATTATGGATGTCTGGGCAGGATGTGGTATTTATACATAAGTGTGTTCAAGTGTTAGAAATTTTGAAAAAAAATTGAAGCTTGTGATGCAAACATTAAAACTTTACTTTTTATAAAGAAAACTAACAGTTAAGCGGTAAATTTGGGGGCCCCTAAAAATCGGGGGCCCCTAGCTGCAGCCCTTTCAGCACCCCCCTTAATCCGCCACTGTGCGTGTGTGTGACTCATTTCTGACATTTAAAGAGCACACTTTTTTTAACATGGTAGAGCATCCGAACGTTTCAAGTCTGTAGGACGTCCCTGACTCCACCTAATCCTGATGGGTAGACCTTCTTGACTCACATCCCTGACTCCACCTAATCCTGGGTAGGCCTTCTTGACTCACGTCCCTGACTCCACCTAATCCTGGGTAGACCTTCTTGACTCACGCCCCTGACTCCACCTAATCCTGATGAGTAGGCCTTCTTGACTCACGTCCCTGACTCCACCTAATCCTGGGTAGGCCTTCTTGACTCACGTCCCTGACTCCACCTAATCCTGATAACTAGGCCTTCTTGACTCACGTCCCTGACTCCACCTAATCCTGATAACTAGGCCTTCTTGACTCACGTCACTCTCCACCTAATCCTGATGGGTAGGCCTTCTTGACTCACGTCCCAGACTCCACCTAATCCTGATGGGTAGGCCTTCTTGACTCACGTCCCTGACTCCACCTAATCCTGATGGGTAGGCCTTCTTGACTCACGTTAAGGAAAGCAAATGCGGCTGGGAGTAGTCCTAAACAGTGGCGTAGCGAGGTCGGGTGTCACCCGGTGCGGCACAGAGGCGTAGCGACCCTTCCCGGGGACAAATTTTCGATTTGCACCCCCCCCACTCAAGTTTTCGATTTATTTGCACCCCCCCCCCTCAAACTTTCGATTTGCACCCCCCTCAAGTTTTTCTCTATATATTTTGCAATTTTTTGCCTTGGTGTCACCCCCCTAAATGGTGTCACCCGGTGCGTTCCGCACCCACCCACCCCCGCCCCCCCCCCTCGCTACGCTTCTGTGTTGAGGTCACCGAAACAAATCTAATTCATCTGCCCCATGGACCATCAAATGCGCACGGGTAATGCTTTAAATTATTTCCTCTATCCCTTTAGGAGCCAACCCTTCCCTTCGGGGCTCCTACACCCTAACCCAAACCTAGCCTTAAAACCTACCCAAACCTAGCCTTAAAACCTACCCAAACCTAGCCTTAAAACCTACCCAAGCCTAGCCTTAAAACCTATCCAAACCTAGCCTTAAAACCTACCCAAACCTAGCCTTAAAACCTACCCAAACCTAGCCTTAAAACCTACCCAAACCTAGCCTTAAAACCTACCCAAGCCTAGCCTTAAAACCTACCCAAACCTAGCCTTAAAACCTACCCAAACCTAGCCTTAAAACCTACCCAAACCTAGCCTTAAAACCTACCCAAACCTAGCCTTAAAACCTACCCAAACCTAGCCTTAAAACCTACCCAAACCTAGCCTTAAAACCTACCCAAACCTAGCCTTAAAACCTACCCAAACCTAGCCTTAAAACCTACCCAAACCTAGCCTTAAAACCTACCCAAACCTAGCCTTAAAACCTACCCAAACCTAGCCTTAAAACCTACCCAAACCTAGCCTTAAAACCTACCCAAACCTAGTCTTAAAACCTATCTTTATGAAGTCGTTTCCTGTAGTGACCTGATACCACATGAACCAGGAATGAGCCAAAATGTCCTTTCGCTTTGTTTTACGCGTTTTGTTCCATCGGAAATTTGTTAGGAAGATTGTGGGACTGAACCAGCGCGTTTAGTCGGCACATCTAGAACCTAGCCGCTCTTTTTTAGTTCATTCGTAATATCCGGGTATCGCGACCGGTAGGTTCAAAGCAACCTCCGTCACAACATAGAACTAAATGTATAGATCTAGAAGCCACTGATTTCATGAGAACATATTGAATAATTTTTTATTTATTTTTTCTAACTTAGACGTTATAGTCGAATGTTGTGTCGTTTCTAAGTGGATGGTGATTACAAGATACGATGATACACAGATAGGAACTTTGACCGGATAGAAATCTTAAACGCCCATGATTCCATTTCTTGCTTCAGGTCGACAAAATGCGGCTGTGAAACATCGGGTACGTTATTGTTTTTTTTTTTTTAATCTTTGTCTGGCTTAACTTTAACCCTTAAACAAAACCCATCACCATTCCTAGCTCCACCCCTTCATACAATGTCACTAACTCAAACAGGATCGGGTCGATCCTATCCTTAGTAGGCTACTATCTAATATGCACTTAGTGCTGTCAGGTGTTTACGTCACAAGCAGTGGCGGCGCATGCAGGGGTGCAGGGTGCGGACAGCAAAATACAGCTAATTTTAAACCTGCTTTTCACCGATGGCTTAATTGCCTGTTAAAGTTGTGTGCATCATATCACAGAGTAAAACCATTTGAGATAAGATGACACTAAATTACTTATAGTGTTGGTACATGGTATATAGTCTATGCAGAGGCGTAGCGACCCTACCCGGCGCCCGGGGACAATCTTTCGATTTGCACCCCCTCTCGAACTTTTCATTTGCACCCCCCCCCCCTCAAACTTTCAATTTGGCGCCCCCTAAGGTCGGCGCCCGGGGACATATGCCCCCCCCCCCCGCCCCCCCTCGCTACGCCTCTGAGTCTATGACGGAATGGGTGCTATTTTGAGTTACCCTACCGGATGTTACATGGCCTAGTGACGCCACTGATTACCAGATCTGAATCGGACGGTGCAGATCTATAACCAACTGTCCCGAGTTCGGTTCCGTTATGGAATGTAGAACATCCTATATTTCCCAAGTCCCAGATGGGGAAAGAACGAACGAGGAAGTGTTGGCGGGACTAGTTCGGATCCATCTTTGGCCGGTTAGGCTGTCTGTAACAATACATCACTGTAAGGAGATTTTTCTTTTCTTCTGATAGTATCGTTGTTAGTATTTGGGCTTGTAGAAATAAAATATACTAATGAAAACTGGCATCAACATCTTTTCCCGTTCGTGTCCAAGACACATGGGGCAGATGAAATAGAGTTCATCTGTTTCAATCACCCCCCCCCCTTTTCGAAATTGCAATTGTCTCTCCGAAAGTATCATACTCAAAAGAAATTAATAGGAAGAAAATTACAGTTTACTCGCTAATGTCCATTCAAGATACCTCTAGACATAACCCAAAACAAAAATAGAGGCTTAGCCTCGTAAACACCCAACGCTAACCAGTTTCTTTCAGGTATCTTTTGGGGGATTTCACTGTCTCCCCCCCCCTCCCCCCCCCCCTCCCCCCCCCCCAAGTACTTCCACCGTCCCTCCCCTCTTTCCCATCGAAATATAATTTATACTGAAAATATTTACTTTCATCAGTGTCCACCCCCTACCCCGAAATTTTTAGTCCCCACTAGAAAGTTTCAAGTGCCCCCCCCCCCCCCCCATGGAGAAAGATGTCGGATAGAAACACTGACGCCACCAAAACACCACCACCTAGTTCGTCTTAGTAGCCCAACACTATCTTATGGCCTATAACATGTTTGACAATACTATTGCCTTGATTAATACTTATGTAATGTGTAGCTCCGCTGAATTCTATATTTAATCTAGATTATCTTGTTCTATTTTTGATTCGGTGTTTTCCCCAAAACACACAATGACACACACTTAACATGTTGCTATTAATATTACTAGATCTATAAACCATGGTGTTTACGTGTAGCCTAGAATAATCTAGATCTAGATCAATGCACTTTCAAGAGAAAAGGGCCATTGGATCCTTCATTTTTTTATCGTTGTGTTTTATGAGTGTCGCGAACAGATCTGAATTGGCTAAAAGACTATAACTAGAAAAAAAATGTGTACGCTATCAATTGAAATTAAAGGGCACCAACAAGGAGTAATTTATGCAAAAAGTTATTTCTTCAGCCCTAGATCCAACTCCCCTCTCCCTTTTACGGAACTTACATATGAACTGGGCCTAGACTACGTCAGTGTGTTGTATAATTATTTGACCTAAATGACGTAAGCATTTAAAGTGTTATTTTTAGTTACTGTTTTCCAGTTTTTTAAACATCTTTCGGTCCCATAATGCACACCGTCACCGAGTTGTTGTCGTAGGATACAAGAGGAAGTCTTATTTGTGATCTAGAATTAGAATATTAGTGTTGCATTGTATTTATTCTTTATCTTTAAAGGCCTACTGTCTCTTTTTAATTAATATATAGACTATTGCTGAATCACAACACTTACTTAATTACCGGTTACTGTAGAGAGAAGACATTTTAAAAAAACCAAGTGTTGGTTTAAAGTTTAAGTCATTTCGCAGGCATTATCTCAGTAAGACTGAGTAAGTTTCTTACGTAGCAGACGGCGAACGCCGAAGTCCGTGTTCGTTCTGTCACACTGTACTGAGTGACGCGATCATAACAGTGTTAACGCCTACGGCTAACGCTGTTAGCCTATAATTTTTTTATTTATTTGGGTGAGTACTCTAATTTGACAGCATAGCCTAAATCGCCACAGATAAATATTAAATAATAATAATGCTGCCATAATACACTAATAAAAAATAACAATAGGAATACTACTGTAATTATAATATAATATAGTCTTAATTAGGCCTATAGTAGACTCTAGTACTAGAATCTAGATCTAGATCTAGCACTGGTCTAGTGTAGTACAGTAGATCTAATAATATTATTATAATATCTATAGTAAACTAGGCCTATAGTTAATCGTGGGTAGAAATCTAGATCTTTCTAGATCTAGGATCGATGGATGACTCAAGAGTAGAGTCATGAGTCACAAGATCTAGATTCTAGATGTATTTCTTAGTTTTGACAAATTAATTTAGATCTAGATCTAGAATACGACAAAACATCATTGCTCACTATATTTTTTGTTTTGTACTCCCAGATTTTAGATCTAAATCTAGATATTATCATGATCGAGATATATCCAGAATCTAGATGTCTTTCTTTGGTATGAATAAATGGCCCATTGGACAAATCACCCATTATTATTTGTCTGTTACCTAAATGCAACAACAGTGGGTTTTCTTTGATGCTTGGCTTGCCAAATTGGCAACTAAGAACTTAATAACTACATATATATATGTTACAGTCAAAGCCCGAAGTGCTGCCTAAGCCCGCATTGGCCGGCCAATGAGCGCATTGGCCGGCTCTCTTGGCCAAAGCCCGAAGAACTTAGCACTAAGAGCGTATTTCTTACATTGGCCGGCCAATGCGCGTACTGGCCAAAGTCCGAAGCGCTTAAACTTTACAGTGTATTTTGTACATTGGCCGGCCAATGGTCTATCTACACTAAGTTGTGATCGCTGTTTCATTTTTCTGGGTGCGGTTTCATTATGAGTAACGTATTGTTTGGCTCTTGTTTGTATAGCATTCTATATGCAATGCGACATGGACCAAAAGGACCGTCAGATCAAGAGACAGACTTACCAGATAGCAGCCATAATAAATAATCCTAATCCTAATGGAAAAGAATTTGTGGCCTGAACTTAAACTAGTTCACAGAAAACCAAGGCATAGCCAAAGCCAATGTTCAGTAGAACTTGCTAACCAAGATGTTCAAAACATGATGAGGACATGGATGTAGACAGATGAATCAGCTCATTGGGCTGATAGTCTTATGAAAAACCGTAATTTTAATCAAGGAATCCAACAATTGCCATACGAAGCCTTGTTTGGATGCAAAGCAAAAGTTGGACTCAGCACTTCAAATCTACCAAGAGAGGCTCTCGATAAGTTAGCTACTGAGAAAGATCTTGAGAACATTGAACGAGAAATGGAGGTTGCCATAAATGCAACTACGTCCTCATCTAAAACATTTGCTGCTGTGGTGCAACGTCCAGACCAGCTGCGTGACAATAATAAGGCCAATAGATTATGTGTAGTTTGTGAAACATATTGAAATTCTGCCCATTCCTGTGGATCCTCTGGCAACTATGTCCATGCAATATGCGGGATAGCCAATGAAGCAGACGAAGGGTATGGAGGGAACAGTACTCGCAGAATATGTCACAATAAACAAGAAACCATGGACAACGGGTCAGCAGCTCATACTACCTTGCAAACTCAAGGTGCTAAGATGCTAACAAAATTTAAACAAGCTAAAGTGAAAGATACTGGTAGCATAAGATACAGATGTTGATTGAGGTCGCGGTGATCCCCAAAGCGTGATTGCAGTTGTCATGAGCGTAGAGGGCGCTTTCTACAAGCTAGGAACGGAACATGGTGTATTAAAACAACTATAAGCTAGAAGTGAGTTTTCAACTCTTCACGGAAAACTGACCTCATTGTCACCCGTTGGCACTGAGGAAAATCACTACGAACCATCGCATCTTCACAATCACTGACCGGCGGCCAAGACTACATTTACTGCAATTGCACAACCTAGTGCACAACAAATCGCTGCAAGTGTAAAAATAACAATGTAATTCCAAATAATAATCAACAATACTTAATTTTTATGATTCTTACTGTATAAAAAAACCAAAATCTGCTCATGATCTTCTAATTCGGCCTTTGTCCCTAGATGATCTTCTAATTCGGACTGGCCGAAGGCCAAAATGAAGTAAAGTTTCAGGCTTTGGCCGGTCAATGGGAGGCAATATTGGCCAATCCGCGCTTTGGCCGGCCAATCCGTGCTTTGGCCGACTTCGGGCCTTGACCGTAACATATATATATATATATATATATATATATATATATATATATATCATCTCCCGTTAATGCCCAAGGCAGATGGGGCAGATGAAATAAAGTTCATCTGCTTCAGAGACCTCAGCATATGAAGGGATAACATTGTCAGCACTATACCCTAGCGTGAGTTAGGTACTCATCAGAGCTGGGTTGACTCAGGGACATTTAACTTATTTGAACCCGGATATATATATATATATGTTACGGTCAAAGCCCGAAGTGCGTAAAATTGACAGCGTATTTTGTACATTGGCCGGCCAATGCGCGCACTGGCCGGGATGTCCCGGCCAATGTTCTATCTAGACTAAGTTGTGATCGCATTTTCATTATTCTGGGTGCGTTTTCATTGAGAGTAACGTATTGTTTTGCTCTTGTTTGTATAGCATTCTATATGCAAGGTGACATGAATCAAAAGGGCCGTCAGACCATGAGACAGACATAGCAGATGGATGTCAAAAGAATAAAATGTAAATCCATGTTAGTTTCCATATATGGGCTCTCGATAAAATAGTTACTGAGGAAGATCTTGAGAACATTGAACAAGAAATGGAGGTTGCCATAAATGCAACGACATCCTCAGCTAATACATCTACTGCCGTGGCGGAACGCCCAGACCAGTTGTGTGACAATAATGTGGCCAACAGATTCTATATAGTTTGTGAAAAACATTCTAGTGCAGCTCATTCTTTTGGATCCTGTGGCAACGATGTCCATGCTATTTGTGGAATACCTAATGAAGCAGACGAAGGGTACGGAGGGAACATTACCTGCAGATTGTGTCACAACAAACAAGACATCATGGAACACAGGTCAGCAGCTCATACTGGCTTGCAAACTCAAGGTGCTAAGATGCTTAAAACATCAAATACAAAATTTAAAGATGGTGAAGTGGGTGACAATGTACGCATCCGTTTTCCAGATGTTGACAGAGGTCACGGTGATCCCCGAAGCGTGATTGCAGTAATCATGAGCGTCGAGGGCGGTTTCTATAAATTAGGAACGGAACATGGTGTTCTAAAAAAAACTGTATGCTAGAAGTGAGTTTTCAATTCTTCACGAAAAACTGCTCTTATTGTCGTCAGTTGGCACTGAGGAAAAATCACTACGAACCATCGCATCTTCACAATCATTGACTGGGGGCCAAGGCTACACTAGCTGCAATCGCACAACTAAGTGCACAACAAATCGCTGCAAGTGTAAAAATAACAAGCTGCTATGTAATTCTAATTGCCATAAAAGTTCAACTTGTTGTAACAAATGATGATATTGGTAGATTGAGACTATAGTACAATAACAAATTTGAATGTTTCTGTCATTTAATTTATTTAATAATCAATAAAGACTTAATTTCATGATCCTTACGGCATAAAAAAAAACCAAAATCTGCTCATGATCTTCTAAATCGGACTTTGGCCGGTCGTCCCTAGCCAGATGATCTTCTAATTAAGACTTTGGCCGGTCCAACATGGCCAGTCCGCGGATTGGCCGGTCCAACATGGCCAGTCCGCGGATTGGCCGGCCAAAGGCCGAAATCAAGCAAAGTTTCGGACTTTGACTGACCTATGGGAGGCGATATTGGCCAATGCGCGGATTGGCCGGCCAATCTTAGCATTGGCTGACTTCGGGCTTTGACCGTAACATATATATATATATATATATATATATATATATATATATATATATATATATATATATATATATATATATATATATATATATATATATATACATATATATATATATATATATATATATATATATATATATATATATATATATATATATATATATGGTGGCTGAATTGTTTGTAGAACACTTACCTACAGTAAAAACAAAACTCTACTTGATCAGCAATGTTTGATATTTAAAAGGTTTTTATTTTTGTACATAAATCCAAATTGATATTTAGAAAACTTATCATTTATAAAATACTAGCGTCTCTTGCCAGGCCCTGCACTGGCCTCTGTGAAAAACCTATGTGTAAATAACCATGACTTTTGGGTTTATTAAGCAGCATATACCCGGTGAAGTTTGACAAAAGAACACATAACCCTAAACCTAACTCTAACTTTAAGCTTAACACTAACCACAACCAACCAAAACCAAAACACGAAATAAACGCTAACATAACACAAACACAAACGCATACTAAAACACAAACCCAAAAGCAAACATACACAAAAATGAGAATACAGACATAAACAAAAATGCAAACATCAAAGGAAACACAAACACAAATGTAAACACTAACAAAATCGCAAACACTAACGCAATTACAAAAGCAAATGCAAAAGCGAACACAAATATTATCACAACACAAATACAAACGCAAACAATAATGCAGAATATAAACACAAATTTAATGCAAACATAAATGCATAATGCTCACAGTATATCCCATGGGGCACCCTACTGGTGCACAGGCTGAACCGCCTGATACAACTTAGTAAAAGACTATAATACCCCATCTTATTCATAGTCTATTGAACTCACTAAACCAAACGTAGGCGCCATAGCGCTCACTGGAAGGCCTGGGGCGCCAAATACCACTCTCTTGGGGCACGGGAGGACGCCTGGATTAGCTTTAGTTAAGGACTACAGTAATCTTTCTTATTCATAGTCTATGGCATTTTTTAAAATGAATGTATGCACTAAAGCGCTCACAGAATAGCCCAGGGCGCAAAATTAAACCCTGCCGGGGCGCCGATGGACATGCCAGATTCAGTTTTGTGAACGACTTTAATTCCCCCAGCTTGACCGCAAACCAAAAGATAGAAGAAAACATAGATGGCAACACCAAATCAAACTAATAAAAAGTAATTTTTTTCCAAATGTCATGTTTTTTTAAAGGGAAGTACTATTTTTTTTTACAATAAAGGAACAAAGTGAGGTAATTTGTACACTTTTAAAGGATGATACATTTTCTTTGACTTTATTTATTCCACATGACGTTAATTAAAATGATACCTTTGGAAAATGAAACTTTCTTTATAAAACCTTCCATATTAATTATTTAAATCATTCATTTAGACAATAAACGCGTTAAGAATATTACACTATGGCGATCAAGTCTAGTTTTTTACTATATGCATGTGTACCACAGGATCATCTGCCTGTCACATACAAACAGAGCCACAGAATCCATTTTTTATATATTAGAAGTGCTAAATACTAAACATTTTAATCAACATAAGGTGCAAAATTAACTGAAATTTATTATTATTCACAAAAATTAAAAATTGTTATGAAAAAAATTGTACCAATTTCTTCCCTTTAAGTGGTAGATGATTTACAAAAATTAAAATTACTAAAGAAAAAATTCAAATGTTTGCTTTGTTTATGTATGTCTTTGGTTTTGTGCTTATGTTTGGTTTTATGTTTATGTTTGTTTGTGGTTTAGGTTAAGGTTGAGGCAATTGTGGGGGTTAGGCTTATGATTAAGTTTATGTTTGCTTATGTTTAATTTTTGTTGTTTAAGTGAGGTTTAATTAGGTGTAGAAGTGCGATCAGAGCGTTTATGACATTTATGTATGGATATGGGTATGTATTTGTGTATTTGTGGTTTTTCTGTTCATGGTTGTGGTAGGTTGTGAACAAGATTAGTTTTAGAGCTAGGGTGAAGATTATATATACTTTTTCAAAAGTTAATATTTGCATATAGACATTTAATTGGAAATTCAATATGTTTCCAAAACCAGACAGCGCCTGGTATATGCTGCTTAATTAACAAGCAAGTCATGTTACAGATGTTTTTCACATAGGTCAGTGTAGGGCCTGGCCAGTTAGTGTATGTATAAATATATATATAAATATATATATATATATATATATATATATATATATATATATATATATATATATATATATATATATATATAATCACACAATACTTTATTTTTCAACAATCTACAATATTCTTGGCAACTATTTGAAATTATATGCTGAGATTTATTTGGTCCACAGAAATAGAAAAATTAAACTTACATGCAAATATTAACTTGGTCACTTGAACCAACCAGGTCTATATTATTATACACACAAACAAGCACTCACCACCGCTCTTTCACTATACATGCACTTATTCAAAATTGCTAACTTTTGTTGTTTATATTTTTATTACCTTTTTTCTTTATGTTTGCTTCTACCAACTTTCCACCAATAACCATCTCAAAATAATTAATGCATAAACTAAATTATAGTCACTGTAAATAAAGACTGACGCAAATTTTTATAGGCGGAAAGTACTAGTTTCTTTTTTAAACATTATAAACTTGAATATAAAATGAATGTAAATAATAAACTCAAAACAAGAATTTTGTGCAGCTTGGCAACGTTTAAAAATTTTTGCTCTGGCAAACCATATACTGCATTCAAGACCGCCATCTTTATCGAGAGTCGATTTTCACCGCTTTGTTGAGCTAGTCGAAGATTCTCTCTTCGGTTCTTACTTAATTCAGGTAGTTTGAAAACTAAATGGGATCTTTGTCGAGCTTGAATGTATACATCTTAGATACCCACCAGAACATTAAACTAGTCTATAGACTAATAAAAATAATTTTAAAATCCAGCTAGCCTGAGAAGAGTGCAGACTCAGACCGAAGGAAGGCTGGGGCCCAAGCGAGGACATAGACTAGGTTGAGGATTAAAAAAAAAACAATCATCACTCAATTAGTAAGCCTAGCCGGCTTAGCCCTAAGACATGATCTAGCTCTAGATTTCTAGATCTATATTCTAGACCACAAATCTAGATTTACTTGTAGAAGTAGATACTCTAGCTAGATTCTAATTCGTACTGCCAGTACTGGAGTAGAATCTGCACTAGCTTTTTTCTGATCTCTAGCAGCTACTCTGCTAGATTATTTAAAAAAAAAAACAACTACTAACTCTATTCACTAGGTAGTAATATCTAGAATCTCATAGTAGATCTAGATCTAGTAAGTTGACTATAGTTTAAACTAGATTGACTAAAAGTTATTACAAGACTAGATTCTATCAACAGATCCAGTCAAAATAAAAAAAAAGCTACTTGAGTTCTAAATCTATTTCTAGAATCATTTTCCACCTTCTAGGCCTAATAAACTCTAAAATACCTCTACACAGCTTCGTCTTCTGCACCCTGTTTCATTATTATTTGAAGTAGAATGAGAAGAAACGCTTCCAAATACTTATCTACCAATGGGGAATAAGAATATGTAGACTCTATTAGCAAGTCATGTGTAGTTAGTATTTAGTTATTCCATTCAGAAACCTAACACCTCTGTTTTAAGAAGATTCTATTATTTTGCCATTATTGGATATTGGTATCCTATGGGTTTTTATAATATAATTGGATTTAGATTCTATTTCAGAAGTGTATGTTAGCTATAAGACCGTTAAGTTGAAGATTTTGGCGATCTATAGGCCTAACTAGTGCAGGATTATTTTGGCCTAGTAATTTTAATATGACTAAGGCTATTCCCAGCCATCAGCTACTGGCAATAGTCACTTCATTTTTATATTACTACAGATAACACAACACTCCTAGTTAGAAAAGGTTTTGAGTACTTTAGACTTGAATCTTAAAAAAATGTAGGCCCTATTTGCATTATTTTATTTGCACAATTTTTTTTGTTAGATGTCCAGTAGTAACGGGTCACCTCCTGAAAAACGAGCCCGACTTACCATTAACTCAACTGACGGTAACTCTGAAGAAAGAAATAACGGAGTGCTTTTAAATGTAAGTTGTTGCAAATTCACTGTTGAATTTTATCATTCGAAAATTACATAAAATTGATTTATTGAAATATATTCTATTGCATTGCAGATGGATGGTGTTAAAAATGGAAGTACTGAAGACATTGATGAAAGTTTGTATTCCAGACAATTGTAAGTTTTTCATTTTAAAAAAGATTTATTACATTATTTTAAAAGTTACTGAAATCTGCTGGCAGACTTTAGTTGCTATTACAGATCAAAACCATTCCTTCACTTAATAATCGGCCTAGTTGTAAATTGAAAATAATTTATTTAGGTATGTACTTGGCCATGAAGCTATGCGCAAGATGGCAAGTTCAAATGTCTTGGTATCTGGAATGGGTGGTATTGGAGTTGAGATATCAAAAAATGTTGTGCTGAGTGGTGTTAAATCTGTGACCATTCATGATACTTTGAATACTACATGGATGGACCTTTCCTCACAAGTAACTTTTTTTTCCTATAGACTTGATCAACTTTAAGGTTATTTATAAGAATGGTATAGAGTAAAATCTTACTTAGAATAATAATATGCCCTCTTGTTGAATATTTTCTCAGGAAATGTTTTTTTGTTCCCTTTTAAAGACAAAATTTAAAATTTAATTCTAGTTTTTTCTGAGGGAAGATGATGTTGGTAAGAATAGAGCCGTTGTTACATTGCCTCGTCTTTCTGAGCTGAATTCATATGTGCGTGTGTCCAGCAATACTGAACCCCTGTGTGAAGAGTTCCTTAAGCAGTTTCAGGTATTTTATAAAAATATTTTAAAATATATTTTTGTTAATTAAGCCTTTATATTTTTTTATGAATGTGAATGTTATGACATTTTACATCAGTTAAGAATGTTTTTAACATTTTATAGGTTGTTGTGTTAACAAATAGTAGCCAAGATGATCAGATAAGATTTGGGGAATTCTGCCATTCAAACAATATCAAATTTATTTCAACTTCCACTTATGGATTGTTTGGGTATGGATTTTTTTATAAATATGCGTCACTTTTAAAAAACTATATTTCATTTTGTTAACATTCCAGTGTTTTTTCCACTTGCAATATAATGCAAAATATATTTTTCAAATATTTCCTCAGTCATATCTTTTGTGATTTTGGTAAGAGTTTTGTGGTATCTGATGTGGATGGTGAACAGCCCCTTTCAATCATGATTGCAGATGTTGAAAAGGTTTGAATTAATTTAGATTCTGTTTTTGTACTTAGTGTATGAACCTTGTATTTTCATAACGTTTTACAATAGCTATAGCCCAGGTAATATACTTCCTTGAGTTAACAAGCAAATTTTTTTATAGAGTGAACAAGGTGTTGTAGCTTGCTTGGATGAAACCCGCCATGGTTTTAATGATGATGACTATGTCACATTCTCTGAGGTTCAAGGAATGACTGAATTAAATGGTTGCAATCCAATCAAGATAAAAGTGCTTGGTATGGGGTTTTTAAACAAGTTTTTATAAATGTTAAAAACTAACTTTTGTTTATTGATGAATGCTATTTATGTTACCCTGTCTAGTATATAGAACTGTTTTTCTGCTTTTTAAATTTGAATCCAAACATTCCAGGACCTTACACATTTAGTATTGGTGATACAAGAAAATTCTCAGACTATGAAAGAGGTGGTGTTGCTTCTCAAGTTAAGATGCCCAAAACTTTTCATTTTGTAAGTTTTGCAATTATTAGCTTTTTTGTGTTTGTCATTGTAGTTTGTTTGTTAAAATGCATCATGTTGTGTCTCAGTAACCTATGTTATTATTTGGAATTGACAGAAATCAATCAAACAATCTCTAGAGGAACCAGAGTTCCTATTGACTGACTTTGGAAAGTTTGACAGACCTGCAATTTTGCATATAGCTTTCCAAGCTCTACATCAGTATGTCAAGAAAAATGGTCACATGCCAAAACCTCGTTGCAAGGTAAAATATCTTTCTTAATTTAATTGTATTAAATTAATTTGTTTTGAAAGGTAATGGTGTTTCCTGACATTAATACATTTTTGTTTATATCACCGTCTAGGCTGACGCTGAAGAATTTGTAAATGTGTTCAAAGAAGTTAATGCTAATTCAAAAGCTAAAGTTGATGATTACAGTGAAGAACTTTTACATGAATTTTCTTACTCAGCCCGTGGAAATCTTTGTCCTATTCAAGCATTTATTGGAGGAATAGCTGCTCAAGAAGTTATGAAGGTCTGCTGAAGGTTTTTAGCATTAACTCCCTAAATTAAAGTGTTAAAAAGTTTTTTGTTTACTTGCCTTGTGGAAAGTTTTAAAAAAAAAGTTAATTATTCAATTTTGTGAACAGGCCTGCAGTGGAAAGTTCTCACCTCTTGTCCAACATTTATACTTTGATGCGTTAGAGTGTCTTCCCAAGGACAAATCTATCCTAACTGAAGAAAGTTGTTCACCTGTAAGTTATTTGATATTTTAATAGTATTGAGTTAACACAATAGGCATATATATCTATATTTTAATTTAAATAAGTACTTTGCTTATTCATTTAAGATCTATATTCAAGAATCAATCTTGACACTTTATGTAAATATTTTGGTCATTTTATTTTCAGAAAAATAGTCGCTATGATGGTCAGTTAGTTGTTTTTGGTGACAAGTTCTTGGATGTAGTTCAAAACTTGCGCTACTTCCTTGTTGGAGCCGGTGCTATAGGCTGTGAAATGTTAAAGAACTGGGCAATGATGGGCTTGGGTAGTGGTGAAAGAGGACAGATTTTTATTACAGATATGGACCGCATTGAAAAATCCAATCTTAACAGGCAGTTTCTTTTCCGAACATGGGATGTAGAGGTATAAATGAGTTATTTTATAGACATTACTTATATAGTAGCCCATTGTAACTTGCAGTGTGTGCCTTCTTTAGAATAATGCTAAATAACATTAGGTGTTAATTATTTTATCCATTTTCAATTTACCACATCTTATTTTTTTAATCCTTTCATTCTTCCCTCCTCTTCTACACCCACAATAAAAATAATCACAAAAAAGGGGTTTAAGAAACTTTGTTTCAAACAAAATGCTATGAGACTTGTGTTATTAAACTTGAATTCATTACATAGCTCTGTTCAAACTACCATCACTGTGTAGAATTCTGTTGTGAATAAACGTAAATAAAACTTTAATTGTCACAAATTTAAGAAACCCAAGTCATCAACTGCAGCTAAAGCTGTATTAGCAATGAACCCCAACATTAAAATTGATGCTCGTGAAGACAGGGTAGGACAAGAAACTGAAAACATTTTTACTGACAGTTTCTTTGAGAACTTGGATGGTGTTGCTAATGCTCTTGACAACATTGATGCAAGTGAGTTGTACTACGAGTTGCTTTATGGTATTTTTTGTTTTGTTTTGCATAATTAGTGTAGAAAAATGTTAATATAAAATGCTGACCACCCTTACTAAGTTATAGCTTGAAACACCATTTTAAATCTGTCAATGGTGGAATTGTTTTTTTGTCACTAATATATAAGTTTTGTATTAATACTAAAATCATTTACTTTGTAACATAAATTTTCAAAGTGATTCCATTTATTGTCTAATGTGATTAATACTTTTGTTTGTATTAGGAATGTACATGGATAGGAGGTGTGTGTATTACTGCAAGCCACTTTTGGAGTCAGGCACACTAGGCACTAAAGGGAATGTTCAGGTTTGTAACTGGTGGCTAATCTCAACTCTATACCCTTGAACTAAGGCCAATCCTTATTAATTAATGAATACTGTTTATTTTGAGCGACTGAAACATTCTGGTTTATTCCATGCATTGCTCGTACAGGTGGTCATTCCACATGTGACAGAATCTTACTCATCTTCACAAGATCCACCTGAAAAAAGTATACCTGTATGCACTGTGAAGAACTTTCCAAATGCAATTGAACATACATTACAGGTAGGTTGTAATGGGCACTTTAAAATATTCTAATATATTACAAGCGCCTGTAAATAAATCCATATTTTAATGTTTTTTTTGTTAAGAATAATTCTGATTTTTGTGTTACAAGCCATGCCGTTTGTTTTTTTAAAGGTAACTTAAACTACAATATCTAGATTGTAATATCCCACATAAGTCATGTAAAGCTGCTACTTTTTTTTTATATAAAGGAAAAAATTAAAATGCCTGTTTTGATCTCTTCTACAGTGGGCTCGTGAAGAGTTTGAGAAAGATTTCCATGATGATCCTGATACTGCTAGCCAATATTTAACAGATCCCAAATTTTTAGAGAGAACATTGAAACTTCAGGGCTCACAACCCGTAAGCTTTGTTTTCATTTTCTGATTTTTAAATAAGTTAAAAGAAATTCATTTTTTAATAATCACATGTCTAAGTGTTATCTATTGATGTACGCGATAAGGTTATATTATGATTTCCATACCATATTTTTGCACAATTTAGAAAGTTGCAAATGTAGCTTTTAAATTATTATAAAAACAAAGCTGAATTTGGGGTTTATTCTTTTAATTAAACATTCCAGCTAGATATCTTGGAGGCTGTAAAACGCACCTTAGTTGATGATCGACCAAAGACATTTGAGGAATGTGTAAAATATGGGCGTTATGCATTTGCAAAGAACTACACAAATAGAATAAAGCAGTTGCTTTTTAATTTCCCTGCTGATCAGGTAAAATTTATCTTTGGAAAAATTTTGTCAGACATTCAGCTTATTCCTCTTTTTACTCTTGTTAAGTTTATATTCAATCATTTTTTTTTTTGTTCTTTTAGAAAACTAGTACTGGTGCTCCATTTTGGTCAGGTCCCAAGCGTTGTCCAACTCCTTTAGAATTTGATTCAAATAAAGTAAGTTGTTATTAAATAAAATAGTTATTATTAATCTAAAATAGTAAGAGATGTTAAATTTGATCTGTTATGTTGGAAACCTTTTAGATTATAGTCATTTAGAAAAGTATTTAACTGTTCCAGGAAACACATCTTGATTATGTTATGGCAGTAGCCAATCTGAAAGCCCACATATATGGAATTCCACAATGCAGAGATAGAAGCAAGATCAAAGCTATTGTAGATACAATATCAGTACCAGAATTTAAACCTAAAGCTGGTGTCAAAATTGAAGTGAATGATAGTGAAGTTGCTTCAGCATCAAATAACCCAGAAACATTAGGTACTTTTTTTTTTTTGGATACACAATATTTATAATTCATCATTCATCATTTCTTATCTACTGGCTCATGAAAAGATTGGAGTAAGCACTATGCCTGGGGTAGCCACACTTTCCATAAGGTAGAGCAACCATTAGTCTTCTAAATCATATACTCCACCAAATGACTGCACAGCTCAAAAAAAATTCCTGTATTTAATTAGGAGTTGTCTTGAGTTACAAAAAACTCAAACTTCTATATGGCAGGAAACAGATTAGTACCGCAAAATGCATATTCGATCTTCGCCGTTCATAAACTTTCTAACCAGACATCGTTCGGGGGTTTTGTTTATACTAATAAATAGAGCTATGTTTTTACAAGCTTCGTTAGCAACATTTTTGTGGAATACGTTTTTTATGACATTTTGTGCCGAGGCGAAGGATGCGAAGTATGCAAATCTAGACGGAATGGATCTACTTGGAAAAGTACGTGTACTGCACTAATAAGGTAAGAAATAATATTTTGTAAAAATAACTATTATTTTTATGGATTTTTCATTAGAAATGATTGCTGTAAATTATGAAAGTAAAAAAAGTATATTTGAATGTGTTTTTTACTTTAATTTGAACAAAGTGAATGGCCATAATTACGACACATCGGCGTCGTTGAAAGTGGGGATTTCAGTTAATTTTTTACGGATATAAAATTGTATTTTTTTCCTCCGAGGCATGTATTTAAATAACAGTTTAGTTAAATGTATTTAATTCTGTAAAATATAAGTATTATTTTGCCGTAGATACTTAAAAAATTTTTTTTAATGATTTTCTGTCGGGGAAAATCGATATTCGCACCATGCACGCACACGTAGTAAAACTAGACTTATCTTTAAAACACGAGAATCTTGAGTACACTGCGAATAACAAAGTTTTTAAATTTTAGTTTACTTTTGACTTTAAGCCATTTGTTTTAAATCGAAATTAATGGATAATGTAATTATTTCAAAGTAAAATTTTCCGTCTGAAATTGGGTTCTAATCTTCGCCCACTGAACCAGCCTACGCACGACATTCGCGCGAGTCTGTTTCTTCGCAATAGTCTGTATAGTGTCGAGGGCTATTTCTAAAAAGAATCGAGTCCTTAATAATCCAATGTTTATTAAAATTAGGTACAATTGTTGGAACGCATGAGAAATAACAAATTAATATTTCTTTAAATCTTTAGCCAAAAGAAAGTAGAACTTTCTAACTCTGTAAATTATGAATCGAGTGACAGCTGTCGTGAAAACGGGAGCCATTTTACTCTTTTTTTTTAGGGTGACCTACTTTTATTATATAAGTTTAAAATTCATCGATTTGATAAGCACCTGAGTAGCTGACTACGCATGCGATATGGCTGGCACGTTTTGGGATAGGGATCGAGTACACCATCGAATTTTTTTTTCTTAGAACTAAGCGTATTTTTTTTTTAAATCAAAAGATACTTACATATCAGTTGTTGCTTTCAATTTCATTACAGATCTAATCACTAACTTCAGTTTTTAAAAGTGATTTTGCATCTAGATCTATTTTTTAGATCTACTTACTATACTATTTGACAACCGTGTCAGTAAAATGAGGTCAGCGCTTCCAGATTCTTAGGTTTTAATTATGTTTGTCATTTTGATCTATTATAAGTAGCATTAAAACAACTGCATCTATTATCAACATTGTTTTTATATGCCAGTTCTAATTATACATTCTGTTCATTACCAATTCTAATGAAATCGTATCAGGCCCTAACACCCTGTTCCCCTACACTGACACTACACTTGAAAGACGCCACAGAGAGTCGTAACTTTAAATTAATGTTTAAAGTACTAAACAATTATAATTAGCCATGTAAATGCTGCAACTATATTAAAAATTGGCATAGAGACATATTTTATTAATTATGTTTTTTATATAGACCTTCTATATTTAACTCTGTTATTTTTTTCTTCCCCAGAGTGTTTCTAAAAGCCAGAATTTTAAAGGGGAGGGCGGTCGTTTTTTTTCCCTCAAGAATAATTATAGAAATAAGCTATAAACTGGTATATTTTGTAAAGTTTTACATAATTACAAATAAATGTATGCCTAAGTGACATTTCTGTGTAATTATATTGTTAGTTTTGTGAATTTCATGGATTTTTAGACCTCACTACATTTAGATGTAAAAAAAAATCTCAGTAGAGTGAGTGTGGTTAATCTACATTTTGAACGTGATGTAAATGTCTAGTGCTATTAATTTTTATATTTTTGAATTCCTCGATTGTTAAGCAACAAAATTGATATATAATATGTCAATAATTGTTACTTTGAAAATTGGCGAAAATCGACCCTAAAAGTAGATGCTTGAGGGTTGAATCTGTTTCCTGCCATATCCTGTGTTTTTTTTCCCCCTCAAAGATAATTAGATTAGAGCCACAACAAACAAAAATTGCTATTTAAATAGTAATATTTTTAGCAGAAGCATCCACATGTAAGCTTAAATGCTGGTATTTTGTGCTATGTGGTTCTAATCATTGACAGAAAACACTAATTTCTATACTAATCCATAGAATTTGTAACCTTAAACCCTGTCTTTAGAAGCATGTCTAGTTAAGTGCAAGTCTACTCATTTATCTACTCTTATTGAATTACAGCAAAAAACTTAATGAAGTACAAGCAGCATGTTAACCTTTTTGAAATGAATGATTGTTAATGTAAGTTCTATTTCTACACAGCTTCAGATGATCTCTTGAATGTTCAGAAAGCCCTCCCACCTCCCGCTTCCTTACCTGATTTGAAGATAACACCTCTGGAGTTTGAAAAGGATGATGATTCTAACTTTCATATGGACTTTATTGTAGCAGCATCAAATCTTCGAGCTAACAATTATAACATACCAGAAGCTGACAGACATAAGGTAAGTGTTGTTACTTTAATTTTATCTGGCCAGAGGAAGCTAATATTTGTTTATTTATCAGCTTGTGTTATACAATTTTTATGTTTCCCCAGAGCAAACTAATTGCTGGTCGAATCATTCCTGCTATTGCTACAACTACAAGCATGGTTGTAGGCCTAGTGTGCCTAGAACTTATCAAGGTATGGCTTTCTACATTTTTCCTCGATCAACATTCTGTGAATAACTAAGAAAAGTTGTTTTATATTTTCAATTTTATTTGTGACCAGTTAATTTTTCTTCTGCCAACCATCAATCTAAACATTCAGATTGTTCTTCTTGCTACCTTGTAATATCAGAACCTTTTTTCATTCTAGCTTGCTCAGGGTCATAAAGACATAGAATCTTTCAAGAATGGTTTTGCTAATCTAGCTTTACCATTCTTTGCCTTCTCTGAACCCATACCACCAGCAAAAAATAAGGTAAAAAAAACATTTCTTACATGTTTATTTTAATGTAATTGAATGAAGAGAGAATGAAGAGGTTTATTTCATAAGTAATTTTTAAAATCCTTCTCAGTATTATGAAAAAGAATTCACACTGTGGGACAGATTTGAAGTTCAAGGAGAAATGACTCTTCAAGAATTTATAGATTTTTTCCAGGTTTGTTAGTTGTTTTTTTTTTTGTATGGCTATTTCAGCCTATTGATCAAAACACTTAATTTTTGAACTACCAGTTCACATTTACCTTCATGTTTTCCTTCCAACCTCTTTATTTGATGTATTTTTTTCAGAGAGAATACAAACTGGAGATCACAATGTTGTCACAGGGTGTCTGTATGCTCTATTCATTCTTCATGCAGGCCTCCAAACGTCAGGAAAGGATGGATTTGCCGTAAGATTAAACACTTTAATTTCTCTTAATTTGCTTTTGTGGAGCAGTTAAGATTCTGTTTGTTTAGATCTAGAGGAGTTTACACTTTTCGGACACACACCAAAAATTACGTAGGACCGAACACTTCGTCGGTTTTTGGCTCATAGAAACTTTAATTAGCATGTCTCACGCGAAACCACGGCGCCTGCACGTAAACTGTTCATTTATGAACACTTCCGTGTCAAGTACTTCCGTTTCCTTTCTCAAGAATTATTTTTAGAAATTTTTTAACGTTGCATGGTACGCACATTTCTATTTTTACACCAGCCGGATGAAGTGACCTAGGGTTGGACTTAGGGGCAAAACTTGAGCCAATCAATGCTTAGCTAAAAGGTTACACTATAAATAGCTTCTATATATGTATGGAACATCGTAAATGTCAAGGTTAATGGGTTTTTTCGTGCTTGAACAATAAAAAAGGGGTGTTCGCTAACTTATTTGGCCTTACATGGGACCGGACAGCAACACAAAAATATTATTAAATAAGAATTTAGAGCATAAAAGGGGCTGGTTATTGAAGGGAAAGGGTCAAAATAAGGTCAAGAAGGCAGTGGAATGCGAAAGAGGAGGGGGAATCATGTGACCTGGCTGGCTTAGCAGCGTACTGCGCGAGCCGCAATGGCTGAATGGGATGAACTTTGGGAGTGTGGGAAAAAGGTTTTATACTATTAAAATTACCTCACAAACAATCAATAACACAATATAAATGCATATAATATATGTTTTTATTCATTAAATTGACTTTAAATTATTCTAAATGAACAAAAAGTGCTATGTCCGATGACGGGTAAAGGTGTCCGAACACATGTAAAACTGTATTACATGTGTTCGAACACACGTTAAGACCCCCCAGTCACTATAACAAGAATAGCTTAAGTTCTATGCGTATGAATACAAAATGACACACACATTATTAAAGTAGAATGGTTGCGGATAGATATGATACTTTTTTTTGTTTTCTATGTTAAGCGGTTACTGAATGAGACCGCATGGAATTTTTACGTTGCGTTTTTTCGCTATGTGTGTCCGAAAAGTGTAAGCTCCTCTAGTGATGGTTTGCATTCAGGCATCCTAGTACAACTATCTTAATATATGCATTTCTCCCCAGGCTATCTGAGGTAGTAAGACGAGTGTCAAAGAAGAAAATTCCAGCTCACGTCAAGGCTCTAGTACTGGAGATCTGTTGTAATGATTTAGAGGGTGAAGATGTAGAGGTGCCTTACGTCAAATATAATTTACCTAAATAGGTTTGCTGCATTTGTCTTTTCAAAATTTTCTATTGGCATAACAATTTTTTTACATGCATAGTCTATCCAGTCATTTTGTTTCTTAAAAAAAAAAAAAGTGCAATCAATGTCTTCTATAAAATTTATGGACCTGGTTTGTTAAAATATATAGTAAACCATCTGTGACAACCATTTGATACCAATCTCATTTGCTAACTGTGCTGTACACAATTTATAAGTCAGTTTTGTTAGGTGAATTAGTTATATTGTGAAATAGCTTTCCCACTCAACTTAAGGGGAAGTGTACAAATCCTCCACTATTGAATTTTTTCATAAATAAATTATTAATAATGCATTTTTGTTGTAATTGTGTATTTCTCCTTAAAAGTGGTATGAGAGGATGAGTAAAAAATATATCAAAACTCCCATCATTTTTGTTTGTCATTTTCCCAGCTTCAGTGTTTACATGTACATGTTTAAAGAAAAAAAATAAGAAAGAAATGTGATGCAACTCCAATAAGTTGTCATGTTTAAAGTAGAAACTTTATTAATTACAAATTAGGGACGTAAAACTAAAATAAAAAAGTTATATATGTATATTACAATAAATGCAAAGCAAAATTGAAGAAGCGTGAACTATTGTAGCAGGATCATACACTCCCAGCCAAATAACAGAATGAAAGGTTTCAGAACTGCATTGTGCACCCCAATTACCGGGCTTAATTCATATTGCAGAAACTGATCCCCACAGCCACAGGGATAAAATGTGTGGTATGTTAGTTATGGGGGTGGAGGTTTTCAAGTAAACCATAAATTAGTTAAACACATGGAATTGAATAATGACTTAATGAAATCTTTATTACTTGTCACAATACAGATTTAAAACTAATATAGAAAATATTTTATACCTGCAAGTTAAAAAAAAAAACTGGCATCTGGAATTTTTTGCATATCCAAGAGACACCATGTTTAGACTTGTTACTATATTTGAGTAATGTATTTACTAATAAAAAAACTAATACTTAAAGAAAAATACACTACATGAACAATTATATCACATTGTTTGCTCTGATAATGACCCACATTGTAACAACCATGCAGAATTTCCTCTTTATGGTTGCTTTATGTGCATCAGTTTCCCCCAGCCCAGAAAATAAAAACATTTATATGATAATAAATAAGTCATCATTAATGATTCAAAATTGAAGAGATCTTGGGGTGGGGAACTTTCATTTCCATGCACAACACAAACTGATATATATATATAATATAAAACAGTTAAATCTAGTTTTGAGGTAAGATTTTCAAACTATATAAAATGGCATGAGACAGATTAACAATCTAATTTGGTACCAGGGTGGCATACATACAGTGTAATGTCATTTGGTTTGAAACTGGAAAATGTTGAACCCAGCCACATCATTCATCAAAGTGTTTGACAGCCAGAAGAAAAGGTTTTAAAGCCTAAACTAAGATAAGGAGGGGAAATATTGGCCACAGCACAGACTACACTATTTGCAATACTGTACATAAGAAGAGATCTCAAATAGAAAGTACAAAAATGTTGAAATATTAAAATAGAACCATTTCAATCAGTCTTAAAGAACCAGTCATTCTTATATTGATCATTGGTAACTACACCCATTAATATTTTTTTTTAAATAAAAAATTTTTTATCCTAAAATTTGGAAAGATTTATTTTTAAAATTCAGTTTCCATAAATCCTACACAAATTTTAGTGTTCCTGCTAAATAAAATATGGATAGCATGTTGCATCAAGATTGGAAAATATTTTCCTCTTTGAAAATACTTTCCTTGCAGTAAAAACAAAATCTGCAAAAGAATTAAGAGCACAAAAGAAACCACAAGCATTCTTTTGGCTGGAAATACAAAACATTGGAGGAAAAACATTTCCAAATGAACTAAGTAACAGAAATTAAAAACATAGTTTACACTCCATTAAACTGGGTACACATTCAAATCACTAGCATAGGAACAGCAAATGATGAATCCATGAAGTCATTTTAAATACAAGTCTGAATTTTTTTTCTAAAAGAATAAAAATCCAATCTTAAAAAAATATGTGGAAAAAGTCATGTGTTGCTGTTTGTATTGGTGTTGAAATCAATGGCCTTTTACATGAATCAATGCAGCTGTTAAAATTTTTGTAGACAAATGATAGTACAAGAGAACATTGTGCACATGGGCTATTATTGAGTAACTAGTACCAGGTGGGGGGCTAAAGCTTGCTATAAATAGAAAAGATGTAGTGTTGCACAGTCAGCAAGCAATAGAAAAGGTTTGTCCACTATCATTAAACACCTGGGAAAATGGTAATTACTTCTACAAGACAAAGTGTATTACCAAATGAAACAGCATTTTCTTGGAATGCCAGCAAAATGGAAAAAGGGGTGGGGGTGAGAAGAGAAAGGAATCATGCACACTTTCAAAAGTCTGAACAAAATTACAAGATGACAGCTCATAAATTTCATTCTTTAGTTTCATTCATCATGCTAAGTGCTTTGTATTGATTTATTCTTAATTAGCCCCAGATGATAAAAAAATACTACTTCCCCACACACACACTTATAGAAGAAAACAAATAAATATTTTATTTTAACTACTTTATTACACATGGCATAAGGTACAGATATATCTCGCAACAATTAGAAGTAAAAAAATTATTTTTTTAATCATGTTTTTGTGTATTTAGGATGTCATTGTTTTGAAGAAATATCTATAACCCATTTTGTTAAGATTACTTACATTTTAGTAAATTAAACTACTTACATTTTAGTTTGATTTCCAGTTTTAAAAACAAACCACTTTATTTAGATTTTTTTTAAAATGACTAGCTAAGACTAAGATGATTTATAAAAACTTTGGGAGAAATGGAAGGGACCAAGGAATATATATAAAAAAGATGAAACCAGGGACACATGAAAACTGCAGGCTACCTACACAGTTGACTGTACAGTTTTTAAATGTTTCTTTCCTCTCTCTATTAGTGCTTAGCCTGAATATCAATGTCTAAACAACATGTCTCAGTCCTATTATGCAGTGTTACATAACATTCTGTCTGTGGTCATCAAGATAAAAACTTTACAAAACTTGAGGCATAACAAAAGGTAAGAAAGCAAGGAAGGAACCATGACAATCATTTCAAGAGCTGCAAATGGTTCTACTAATAAATTTGACTACAATGTAGTTTCTATATAAAAGTGACAATTACATCTTATTTTTAAAAATACAAACTGGTAAAACAGACAGGTTTTTCCTGTACATATGATGGAAGTATGAGAGAAAAAAATGGGAAACAACCTTTCTTTCTATACATACATATAAAAGAAAAAAAAAACATTCCTTCACCAGGAGTGCTAGTTGACTTATTTGACTTGAGAACATTTCCATTGTACACTCCTGCATGTCCTATCATCAAAGGCAATTAAAATAAACCTTTTCTTGTTTTTTTTGTTGAGCATGTAAAATAGAAAACTTTCCCTAGCAATTTGTACTGAGAAAATTTGATTTCCTTCTTAAAATAATTAAAATCATTATGTTATGCAAAAATTTAATAAAAACAAATAAAAATTATATTCATTTAAGTTTATTACCAAGAGGGGATGACAACAAATTAATGATGAAAATCTATAATATGAATAGCTGGAAGGGAGGCGACCCATGCATCACCACAATATTTATCTATTTTAAATATAATAAGTTAAATGTAATCTTTTAAAAATATATAAAACAACAATTGCAAATTGAAGAACCTACACACACCCCACCTCCATCATGAAATTTTTTTTTTTTACAAAATTAATTTTCATTCTTCAAAGACTGTCAACTTTCAAGCAATGAGAAATATGATACACTTTACTCATCAGCATATGGTATGCTATCACCCCTGCCAAACCAAGGTGTATTTGTAGTGACTTCAGCAGCCTCTGGGGAACTGGCCAAGTTGGGTTTCCGGGAGACTCCCATTCTCTTCTCTTGAAGTGACTGTAGGCTGATGACTGACGGTCGACTGCGCTTATCATAGCTGTCCATATGCTGAGAGTCCAAGTCCATTTGAAAAGCATTTACCACACGAATCTAGAGGGAGTAAAAAAATTGATTTATACATCTTTGGAAGAACTTTTAAAAACAAAACATCAAAGTGCATCCTTTAACTATATGTGTGCTGATGCTGCTAGTCTCTAACTAAAGCTTCAACATCTGTGTTTAGAATGTATAAACAAATCAACTAAAGGTAATAGTATTAACAGTTGTAAATATAATTTAATTACACAAATTTAAAAATTATATTTAATTTTAAAATATAAATCAAAATAAAGTAACAAACCTAATTTACACTTCCTAATTTTTTAATATTGCATTTTAAAAATTAACTGAGTATAAAATATAACTTAAAATATATGTTTTAGTCAACTGGTATTTTTAACTTGTACATTTTACAAACATGGCCATCAAAAGCACCATGCGATGAATACAATATATTACATTCAAGCACCAGTACCAGCAAATGCACTGCATATCTTAGAGTCAAGTATGTTTCTTACGCTAATCAGCTTTGTGATTAGCTTACCCTAATTACTTAAATCTTTATCAATATCTTATATACCTATAACAATTTTAAAATATTTTATCTTAAAAATGTGTGGACTACAACAGTATATATATGCCCCTTAGCATGCCATTTAACAACAGACTAACCCTTGAAACCTTAGACCAAGTAGCAATACTAAAAAAAAAAAAAGCAAGCAAGAAAATAATCCAAGCAGAGGAAAAGGGAGGGGGGATAGTCATGCACATGCAAGAAGAAAGCAAATAGATTTTCTGCACCAATAACTTCATCATACACCACTCCTCCCTCACCCTTGCTAACCAAACTTTTGTGCTAAACATTACTTTCTACAGATGAGATGGTGTAGGGCTTTGTGTGTATGTGTATGTATGTGAGGGAGAGGGGGGATGTGTTTGTTGTTGTACTGATCAATAATAACAAACTCATAAGTGTTTTGATATGGAAAGCTGAAAAAAGAATCAATCAATTCAAATAGTGTCAAGTACCTGCTCAATGTGGTCATGATAAAAAAAAAAGTTAGTACGACAAGAATAACTTCATGAAAATATGACAAAATAAGATGGGTGGGACAGGTGTTCAGCTGCCCCTAATTCCTTTTTATGTGTACATCAACATTATTTAACCAATAGCAATTTATCAATATGTAAGTTATTTTATAGAAAAACTAGCAAAAAGTGTAGAAGAAAATTGCTCAAAAAAAATTTGTCAAGAATAAAAAAAAAATGGCATGAATTGAATAGCTTGGTGATGATGCAGATTAACTGTCAGCCATTTACCTAATCCCTTATTTTTTTTAATTACACAATTTCATTTCACGTTTATTATTTTTACTTCACTCTATCCGATTAGGTAGATAGCTGAGCAGTCTCAATATGATACAAGTATCAAGCCAAAGGAAACATAAGCCCATAAGCAAATATTTACAATAGAATGTATACAATATTTTTTCTTCATTTATTGATCAGAGTGAAGCATTCCATCTCTCTAATTTAGAAACCCTTACAAAGAGAATATATTTAAAAATTTGCATAAAGTTCTGTGTGGTAAATTCAAGCAATAGCTTTTGAGATGGCTTAAAGGGAAATGAAAAAAAAATATTAGAATCTACTCACATGGTGATCTGTGGAATAAACGCAGCTGGGCCTGTAGGATGCAGCCATCTAACCCCACTTAACTACTCCTACACAGCTTTTGATAAGAACAATCAAGTCTCTAGGACTAATTTAAAGCCACTTCTTCATCACTACTATAGCCTCAAGCATGGGGTCACGGAACACCTATGGTACTCCTGGGGGATTTTCTTTTCAATTTCTGACTCATCTAGACAATAACCTGATCCTCTAATATAGCAACACATATTGAGCATACCACCAACAATATTCATTGTGTGCAGTCTAAATGTGACTAAATGGGCTTGAAACAGAGGAAATATTTGACATGACTAACAACTCTTTTAATAAACAAAAAAAAACTGGTTTAGATGAGTGATTCAAACAATGGCAGCAACATATGAACTTTACAATAACAAGTTCTACAAGATTTGTCTTGTTCCTCCAGCGCATGTTTAACCGACCTCATGTTTCTTGTGAAGAAAAACTACCCTCCCTCCCTCCCTCCCTCCCACCCAACCACCACCGCTTTTAAAAAAATCATGCAATATATTTTGAATAAGGAAAAAACATAAGGTCAGTCAAACATAACTAGCTCATCACACAAACAAACATTTCTCTGACCAATCCACTTCAATCCTGCTTCAGTCCAGCTTCAATCATCCAGTAGTTCAGACATCTTGGTCCAACTTCTTGCCTTGCTTTATGAAAAATTTCCAAGATCCAGTCCCATCTAGAATATCTCCATTCCTTACTCATCAAATAGGTGAAAGGTCGGCAGCTCAAGAAATGATACCCCTTATGTACACCCACTTTAAATGAGCACATTTTGTTTTTGGTCGTAAATATCTTCAGAAAACCATTCAAGAAAAAATGGACTAAAGTAGATAGGATAAAAATTTTATTTAAAAAAAAAAAGAAATAAAGCAAAAATTTAAACATAACTGCGAGGTACATGAAGTGTTTACAAAAATTTCTAATCAAATTGTTGATAGCCAGTTGCAAGTCAACTTTTTTTTTGTGTAGCTTTCACCCCAGTTTCATTCCTTCACTTTAGAATAGCCAGCAGTGTTAAACCATCTCACTCACGTATACACACACTCAGACATTTTGCTGTGATTTTAAAACATTATTTATTGGAGTAAAAACTACTGAAGGTACATATAAAAAATAAGAGTATCAACCATCAAGTTTTTACTATTGAAATTTCACACTTCTAATTTGTACAATATGTGCTGCATCTAACTGACCAATTTATTCGAACATTCCGTTATATATATATATGTTAATATTGACATGATTTATGATTTTACACAACATGAAATGTATGTATTAGTACCACGGAAAATTCTCCCACAATTACCTTCTATAGACAACTGATTATAAGAGTTTTATGATAGTTTTATAAGCTAAAAGAATTATTTTTTTCAATTTAAAGGTAAAAATAGCATGCAAAGTACTGAATAATTGGTAACAGTTAAAATATGGAGGTTGGTACATCTAATATGTGCAGTTTCCATCTTAAAACAACAACCTCTGCATAAAACTGCACTAGCACTAAAATTAACCAAATACAATTAAAGGTAAAACTGTTTTGATGAAATAAAACAATGGAAAATTGTGTAGAAACATTCACACAAACTGGCCTCAGAAACTAAAATCATTGCCAGCTGTCTGTTGACATTGTTGGCCAAATTCACTTTACCAGTCTCATTGTACACATAGTGGATGAATTAAATCTTTACATTCAGTGCTACATAACAGAGTTCTCTAAATGATGGAATCAACAGTTTCAAAACAGCATGTAAACTGTTTTCATGTGCCATCAATCACACAAACAATGAAAGACTAAAAATTTCAGAACAAAACAAATCTTTAGTCATGTAATGGACACCACCTCAGAGTGAAAGGAAACTTGGTTGGCTTCAATAGATTTGGATGGATCAGACCAATGGAATGGCGAGGTGTAACCTTAACGTTACCTGCTGGCTGTGGGTTAAAGACTTAGCTTCTCTGAAAGTCTGTGGTGAATCGGTGCTGGAAAGATGGGAGTGTCAAGCTCCTTGTGTATCTGGGGCTACCAACATGCTCTAGCAGTGAGTAAAAGTCAAAACTACTTCCAGCCTGTAATCAATAGTCAAGAGATTATCATTCAGGTCAGTTTTCATAAGCCAAAAGTGGCGCAGCAATGAAGCTCAAGCAAGCGCAAGCAGTTGGTGCCCGGACCAGCAAACAAATGAGAGCGATTGATATGAATTGATTTAGCTCAGTGATAGCAGTTTAACTGTCTTCTGGTGCTTGTCTGAAGAACTTCTTTCATAGAAAGAAAACTGATGCTTGCAAAATAAAGAACCAACTAAAGAATGAATGAGTTCCTAGCTGGACGTGAGAGAGTTCAATCCTATCTACCTACAGCTGTGTATGCATCTGTTTATGTCATTGCACATCATTTAAACAAGTGATCTCAGACAATCAACAATAGATTGGTGTGGAATGGTCAACCAGTGGAGAGTAAAACAAAAACACTGCCTAGAAAAAATTTGTGCCAGAATTTGTGTCTATTCCAAACAGTCAACAAATGCAATCGATATGATATGCCATGATAATTTAGCTACCAACCAACCACTACAGAATGTGTTTACAGGGATATGATATTATGTACAACTAGTTGATAATAAAAAGTATACAATGCAATTTTAAAATGAAATATATAATTATAATCAAATAATAAATTTAAAACCACTTATAATAACCATTAATGTTAAGGAAAATTATTCATATTTAAAAAAATGGAAAAGATAAACATGAATAGAAAATTGGATAAAACGTCATGTATGTTACCGAACAAGGATGTTAACATTTGGAACCATAAACAAAAATTTAACGGTTATAAATGGACTACATACAATATTTTTTGTTTAAATAGATATTTATTGCCATTCTAATCACATTGGCTTAGCCTAAAGGTAAAAGTAATGTTTAAAATCTAAAATTTTGTGTATAGTAATAATAAAAGATTAGTACAAAGATGACAATCTTTATGCATGAAATTTGTATTTCTAGTTTTGGTTTTTGTCACAAATTCTCAACAAACATTTAAACAAAAATAAAACCAGTAATGTAATGTTCAGAGTCTAAATTTCTCAGTGATGAAGCATCCATGTTATAGACAGACATGACATCAGGTCTGGCAACAACAAAACAAATAGTGTGTGGACTTACAGAGAAACATCTGACACAACGTGGCACATCACACTCATGGTTTGGTCAATACAAAATACAAAAGGGCTTATCAAGTGGTACTAGTTAGAGAGGGTGGTTTTAGGGAAGATCTATTCCCCCGACACGCTCGCTGCTTAGTTTGGTGAAAAACATTTTTATATTAAGTGGGTGAATAAAAAATACTAAACACTGAATGTACAGCTGCTCAGTCTGAGTTGAGACTATGTACTTGTTTAAAGAGCAGGTCATCTAACTACTAACTGCCATTCAATAAAAACAATTTGAGCTAATATTCTGGGGCTACATTTTTAAGTTGGAAGAAATCACATAGCAGTTGTTTCGGAGAACCTGCCCGGAGCTGTGGCGGATGAAATTAGCCCGGATGAGGGCGGAACCTCAGCCATTTCTGTTGAGGACTGGTACAGGGGTCTTTTGCCCCCTCTTATGTTTTGTACTGAATGGTAGCTTTGCAAGGATGACATGCTACGGTTGTCGTAGCGTGTATCTAATGTCATGCGGAAAGCATTTATTACACGGATCTGAAAGGAAATGGAAAGAAAAAAAAAGAGAAAAATAAAATATCAAAACACACTAGAAATGAGCAAACAAAAGTAAAGAGAAATAAGCTAGATAAGGGCTGCAGCTGTCTTCCTAGGATCAACAGAGAACAACAATGCTGAGGTTTGTTAGGGTAATACGCAGATAGAAAGGGGAAGATCCCCCATGGAGGCTGGAAAATAAGATGGATATTAATATAAAATATAACAGCAAATAAAATGGCTAGCATATCTAAACATAACAGTGCAAACAATGGTCAGAGATTGGTGCTAAATGTTTTTCATCTTTGCCATTCTAAATAGGTGTCAAACAAAACAGTGCAGCATGGTGGCTAATTGAGGCAGTAGCAAGTGCTTGCCACCTGACTCTCCGAGCCACCATTAGTGCTAGAGACTGACAACAGAGGTGGGCGGGGCGCTGACTTTTGTCTGTGATAGGTGTTCCGTGATAACAATAGTTCTGACAATCAGGCATCAGCAATATGACAACACCATGAAGAGAGAGAGAGACACCCCCACAAAATGGCGGTGACAGCTGAAATGGCAGTGGTGTTTGGCAAAAATCACGATGAAGACGACGAAGATGCTAAATAGTTAATTGACAACAACTTTTTGGTGACTTTTACTTGCCATGTTGGAGTATACTTCTCATGTAGACTGCCTTCGTGACTTGATCCACAGAGGAATGGAATGGTGATGAGAAGGAGGGAGAAGAGCAAGAATGGAAAGAGAGAGAGAGAGCAGACAGCTCCACTGAGCCACACATTATGTCAACACCTTCTTCGAGACCACCATTACATTCCGTTTTTAAAGCAACAGATAAATGCAGCAAATGTCTTGTAAAAGCAATTTGATCAACCAATCAGTAATAAATAGACACGCCCAAGTTGGCCATGGACCAACTAAGGGGGCTGGAAGGATGGGAGGAGCTTATTTTATAACTATCTGGGTGTAGTGTATATTTACATGAGAAGTGTATTCTAGTTGTTGCTACTACAAAATATATTTTGCAGGGGGAAAATATGTTACATTTTTTTAAAATGAATTTCTTTGTTTGCAGTGAAAAGCCACATGCAAGTTTTGCCTTTTACATGAAACAATTTTTACATTTTAAGATTTATTGAAAATATTTTAGACTAGATCTAGTGCAAAAATAATCCCTGTACCTTTGAAATAATAAAAGAGAATAAATTCTACACAAACTTTTAGCAGGAATAAAACATGTTGGTTCTTCTATCAACCCAGCTGTTGCCTAATGGCCATGTGTGTATGATCATGTCATCTTTTCAGAATGTTTAGTTTATTTTAGTTGTGCATAGAATGACAGATGATATCAAATTCTACACTACAGAGAAACAAATCTTACACAGATAAAATGTTGCTGTTATAAAACTTTTTCTATACAAATGCAGGCAAGCTAGTCAAACTAATTAGCCAATGGCTATCTGCACTAAATTAACTTTCAGCCATTCCATGGAGACATTTTTTATAAGATTCAAGTAAAGAAAAACTAGTAACTAAAAATGTAAAAAAAAAATACAACCTAAAATTAAATAAAATTATTGACTTGATAGCTAATAAACAGACATTAGTCAAATGCATCTAGACTTACTTCCCCTGGATTGTAGATACACAGCAGATTATACAAAAAAAAACAACACCAAAGAACAACATTGCAGCTTTGGCAACATAGATACAGGATGTTACACACTCACACACAACTGTAACACCTGATCACACACGCACAAACAAACAATAGCACATGGCTTTGTCAGAACTGGTGTAAAAATAACACTCAACATCTCAGATTGTGGTCTGCAGTGTAAAGATTCCAATCTACTTAGAAATGATTTTATTTTCTTCATTTTTTTCCTACTAAAGTTAGTGTTAAATATTTAGGAGAAAAATTAAAAAGACTGCCAAGGAACTTCTCAGATGGTATTTACTAGAATATTTTCCTACCAAAAAAAAAATCAAGAGATGCTTCAAGAAGCAACAGATGACATCATGCAGCTTAATGACATAGCACAGAGAAACAATGAAAACAATAACGTCTTGATTAAAAGGTGGGTAGGGGTGTCAAGAGAAAAATGACATATATTAAAGAGAAGTGGGTGGGTGAAAGAAACCTGTGGGGGACAAATTTTATCTGATTGGTACTGACAACCAGCCACATTGTTCACTCACCCGCCACCCTCGCTGATCTTCAACATGGGCTACTATGCCATTGGCTCACTGTACTCATACAGCTTAAAGCTCTGCATGGGTAAGAAAACAAGTAGATACAAAACTCTTTTAATGCAGTTTTCACATGAATTAGGTGGATCATTTACAGGGTCAGTGGTTAATGAAGGGACTCAGAAGTGAGTTCATCACCTCAACATTTCTGTTAGTCTTATATTACTTAACAAATCTCTAACTCAGTATTCAAGACATGTTCTATACAAAAAAAACTATTTGCATGGGTTTCAGATAGCTGAAAAAAAATAAAAACCAACTTTTGGACAATATGGCTCCATCTATGCCAGACTAGCTATTTACATACATGAAATATAAAAAGTCCTCTAGATAGAAGTTTGTGTAGGGAAATTCAAACTGTCATATAGCTGTTTCAGAGTGTTGTGAGATGTCGGAATGGCTTAATGTTTTTGATTTTTTAGCGGGGGATATGTTACATAAGGGATTACAAGGGGCCTCTACAGTGGTCCGCTGGTGGGCTACCAGGGGAACATTCTCATAGGAATAGCTTTTCAACTGCAAGTTAGGGTAAGTGTTGGAAGGGGAGGTGCTATAGTAGCGGGCACTGTTGCTGCGTCCGGTGCCACGCAAGCCTGGATTTAGAGAATGTTGGCCGGTGGTTCGAAGGAAGTGTGACTCATAACGAGAACCAGGATCATCCCCAAAATTTCGGGGACCATGATGGCTGCGTGATAAGCGCAGACTGTGGAAACTGTGGTAGCTGTTGACGCTACGCTTGTCGTCTAGGTCCTCCAGCATACTCCTAAATGCCCTGATCACGCGCAGCTGTCAGAGGGAGAGAAGAAGAGACAAGTGGAGCAAGCATAGAGAGATATGACATTAAGTAAATAATCAGCCATGTCATTTCTGCCATTCTATAACCACCTCTATTTTTTGCACTAAGTCTAACACAAAACATCATCAAGCTAGTCAAATTATTGATCAACAAACAGGAAGAAAAAAATACAATAGGTTGATACAATCATTTACTTTTTAAAGAAAAAAAAGAATGCCACTGTTAAACAACTCAGATATTTCATACATTGGCCTCTAGTATGATCAAATAAATGAAGCCATGCTTTATCAATACATTTTCCCTTCATTCTGCTTATTGGAAACTGCTCATTTAATTTAACTTAATAACCAACTAAATAAAGAGAGTTGTTTATGACTGCCAACAAATTTCTACCAGAATACCAACAAATTTTGAACTGACTACCAAAATATTTTCTACATGCCTGCCAAAATTTTTTTGCATCGTCAGCCAACAAATTTTTAACAGACTGACCAAATTTGTATACTATATCCTAGAATTTTTAAACCTAGAGCCAACTCATATTTAATCAACCAGCAATAATTTTAAGTTACGGCCAACAAATTCACTATTAGCCACCTCTGCTCTAGACCATCACTAACAGAAAGACTTCAGCTAATTGTTAAACTAATACAATTTTACCAAGAGCTGTGAATTAAAAGAGAAAGGCCATAGATAAAGTTTTAGGATGAAAATAAAGACCTTTCATCTCTACATACACTCCCAATCACTATTCTGTAGCTTACTGTTTTGTAAGAATAACACATCTTTGAGTCCTGACCAAAAGCCAGTCATATTAAGTTATGTTAGACTGGCAACTAGACCCTGTTCTCAGCCTAAACCAAAAGCCAGTCATATTAAGTTATCTTTGATGGGCAGCTAGACCCTGTTCTCAGCCTAAACCAAAAGCCAGTCATATTAAGTTATCTTTGATGGGCAGCTAGACCATGTTCTCAGCCTAATGACCAAGGGTAGCCAGACAAATGTTACCAGGAATAGCCAGACAAATCTGTTACCCAAAGTAGTCAGATAAATCCTTTACTAAGAGAAGCCAGAAAAATCTGCTACTGACCAAGAATTAGGATTGCCAGATACCTTTTCCGAAAATACTGGACACCTTTCCATCCTTCCCTTCTCAGGTATGCCACAAAGCAGAAGAAGGGGGGTAACAGAGTATTATTCATATACTTGTCCAGTATTTATATTTATTTTATCCTGGACAGTCTGCTCAAATACTGGACTGTCCAGTTCAAAACTGGACACCTGGCAACCCTACCAAGAATAGCCAGATAAATTTTACTAAGAGAAGCCAGATAAACCTGCTGCTCACTTAGATTAGCCAGATAAATCTGTTACCTAGAGTAGCCAGATTAATTTGTCACCAAGAGTAGCCAGATTAATTTGTCACCAAGAGTAGCCAGATTAATTTGTCACCAAGAGTAGCCAGATTAATTTGTCACCAAGAGTAGCCAGATTAATTTGTCACCAAGAGTGGCCAGAAAAACTTTTCAATATATACCCCTGACTTATATTGATCTAGATAAAACTGTTATAAACATTTAGTCATGATAATTTAAGATCTATCACGACTACTGATACAGAGAGAGAGCACAGGTCAGTGTGAATCAGATTGTTTATCACTTTTAAATTTTAAAGTATGCTTTTAGAGGCTTCTGCATGAAATACTGCGTTAACAAATGTATAACCAAAACAAAGAACTGAAAAATGAACTGAAAACCATAAAAAAGGTCATCATCAACGCCAACAGAACGGTGACTTACACATCAACTGACGCACTTTACGGAAAGTATACATGGAACAAAAGGCGCCAGACATAATGAAGACTATGAAATAAAAATGATAAGCTGATATTTCTACACACAACTGTGGAGAGACAAGGTGTTTCATATTAATTGTGAGTTGATGTACTATTATCTACTAGGCTATTGTAATCCATTTTATTTAGAATTTAAGAAATTAAGCTTTTCCAGAAACCTTTAACTGTTTCTTAACTTTTATTACAGTGCTACTTACTTAGTTACACAATATAAGCATGCCTGTAGATCCTTTTGAAACTAGGTTAAAAAAAAGTCAGGTTCAATTTATTCTACTCTCCAGTTTATTTTCACAAGACATTTCATAAGGTGTTGATTCACATACACTGAAGCGTTCAGTTGATTTTCTCTACAATTACAAAAGTCATGAGCTTTAAGTTGTATTCTTCTTCTTCTTCTTCGTTCTTAATTATTAGTGTTGAAGGGGATCGAGATTTATCTGCCAGTGGGTTTGAACTCGAGACTTTGTTCGAAGTTATCAACCATGTGCTTTTTACCGACTCGACCACGCCTCCAACACAATTAAGCGTTACGTGTCAACTGGTTATGCGCCATTGAGGCCATTGACTCCGATTTCAGCCTGCTTTTCTTTTTGGATTTGCTTCCATAGCCTTTGTCCTACCAAGAACAAACTACAAGGCAGCAGTTGTTTAATTTTGGAGTTGTCTCTCCTAGAAGAGTGGCTGTCCCCAGCTAACGAGCCTCATCTGCCCGAGGGTTCGAACTCGAGACTTTTCGGTTTAGCAAACCATGAGCTTTACCGACTCGACCACGCCGACCCCTTAAGTTGTATTACTGTAGCTTACAATTACAAAAGTCATGAGCTTCAAGTTGTATTACTGTAGCTATCAGCACAAGTTATCTTCAGTCAAATTTTAACTTCCCCTAACTATCAACACAAATATCTAGTCAAATTTTAACTTCCCCTAACTATCAACACAAATTATCTACAGTCAAATTTTAACTTCACCCAACTATCAACACAAATTATCTACAGTCAAATTTTAACTTCCCCTAACTATCAACACAAATTATCTACAGTCAAATTTTAACTTCACCCAACTATCAACACAAATTATCTACAGTCAAATTTTAACTTCACCCAACTATCAACACAAATTATCTTCAGTCAAATTTTAACTTCACCCAACTATCAATACAAATTATCTACAGTCAAATTTTAACTTCACCCAACTATCAACACAAATTATCTACAGTCAAATTTTAACTTCACCCAACTATCAACACAAATTATCTACAGTCAAATTTTAACTTCCCCTAACTATCAACACAAATTATCTACAGTCAAATTTTAACTTCACCCAACTATCAACACAAATTATCTACAGTCAAATTTTAACTTCACCCAACTATCAACACAAATTATCTACAGTCAAATTTTAACTTCCCCTAACTATCAACACAAGTTACAGTCAAATATAAATCTGGCCCAAAGGGAGATAAAATGGATTACTGGATCAATCTATTTGCAGTAATGTGGAAAGAACTAAAATTTTAAAAGTGTCCAAATTGCACAATAGCTACTTCTTGCTGGTGATGAGTGTGAAGGGGAATTAACTGTTGGCAAGAAAAATTCTATAAGTATTAAAATACTGTTTGAGACAGTTGTCATTGAATAAAGAATGAATAAATAGAAATTACCAATAAGAGAAATAGAAAGAGGTATGAAGGCAATAAATGTCAATGCTTGCAAATAGTCATTGTATTTTTAAACTGTAGAGTTAGTAGCCATCTTGTTTTGGTACCCCTTTCAGGTGAATGTAACCCAGTATTATTTCCATATGATGCTGTATTGGAATCATCTAGTTGCATGCAACAAGAAAACTAGCAGACCAGAGCTCTCACTCTGTTTTCAGTGCCACAAGTTGTGCAACAATGTTTTGCAACTTTACTTTGAAACTTGTTCCTTTAAACATTCTAACTGAATTGATTCAGCATAAATGTTGCAAAACTTTTGGCTTTCATTTTTGCAAATATTTCAACACATTATTCAACCAAAAACTTGAATTCATTCATTAAAAAAAAAAGGAGTGAGAAAAAAAATTAACTCTAAAGCTTAAATAAAACTTAACACAGTAGAAAATAAACTGTAATTACATGTATGTAACAGAAAAGGTAAAGTAATTACAATGATCATGCTAAATCTGGCTAAAGCAATTATGTCATTTAAAAAAAGGTATTTTTAAAAAGCCTAAAACAAATAGAGAAATTTCACACAAGTTAAATACAAAAACAATCTACTACTTGAAAATATAGGGAAGGAAGAAGTAAAAATGACTAGTTAAAATGACACAGCTTGTAACTATGTATTTAAATGATGTAGAAATATATATTAAATGAAACTAATCAACATATAGTGATAGAAGCAAAATGGTATGAGTATAATCCTGAAAATATTGTCATAATTTGTCAAGAAATATGTCAACATGCCCTATGAAATGTTAACAAGTGCTCCAAGCAAGCAGCTTAGCATGACAATTGAATGAAATATGACAAACAATTCTTGGATCTATTCAAAGATGAAAACATGATGTTAGTTGTTAAAAAAAAATGGACAAAATGCTGCAAGGGTTAAGCAAATCACAGTGGTATAGCACTTCAATGGTAGCACCAAATGAATATAGTAGAGTAGCTATCAAGTAACTGGTCTACACATAAAAAAAACCATGAGAACTCTGGTGGCACATCTCATCAGGCTGGCAGTGATCAAACAATGTTTACACCACACTGAACCCACTTGCTCAAGCAGAGTGTACAAACTAACTGCTAGTCACAGCAAATAAAAAACTTGAGATCACGCACAAACTTCAGAATAAGAAAATGCTACAGATATTCTATACAAGCTCAACAAGAATAGAAACTATAAATTATAAAAAAAAAAGGGGAGAATAGATCAAATTATAAATAAGCAAATTAAACAGGCAATTAACAAGACAAGTTGATATTTCTACAGATAGAATACATCAAGTCAGATCTACTTTGACAGATGTATCTAGTGAAAGAGAAGAAGCTGATACAGCTAAAGATTTTCTTAGAATGTCTAACTGCTGAGTGAGAACAACACAAACTAGAGAGCAGCAACAATAGATGAGACTGACTGTAGGACACCATACATAGCCTACTGCTGAGAGAAGTGGCAGTTCAGGCAAGATCAGACTGACTTAAGAAAAGGATAGCGTCACCTGAAATTGGTTCAAGTCAAATGCTGGGGATAATGGTACAATAATTTAAAACCACATCAAAAGCAGAGGAAGCAACAACACCAAAGCCTACCTGCTGCTGTAATCGGGTGAGCCCGCGCACCCACAATATCTGGCCACGCCCACTAACTGGGTCATCCTCTGGATTATCCATATCATGCTCATCTTCCATTTGGTCTTTTTCTGAGCTCTTACACATTCTAAGAGATGGTAGGCGTTTCTCTGGAATCAACGTCACCAACTGAAAAATATAAAATTATTTTTTTCAACCAATTTAAAAGAAATGCGCAAACAAGTTTTATATTTTACATTCATCTTTCAATGCAGGTTTTTTAGTTAATAAAAAAATGTTTTAAGCTGCAGTAAAAGCGTTTAGAAAATCTCTAAACCAAGTTGGGTTAAAAATTAATTAGTACAACTGGTCATTTTTGTGATATCTATGCCATAAGCTAATTGAAGTTTCAAACTGTTAGGCTAAAAAAGTAAATTTTTACTTACTCGTCCCCATAATAATGTTCCAAAACCAAAAAATATACACCATAGCCACTGTGCTGCACTTAGGCTTGTTGTGTGGAAGGCAACACCTCCAAATTGAATGATGATAGCCTGAAATAAAATGGAAGTCATACATTGATACATCTGAAACATGTGATTGCTGTCTGTCTTGAATAATGACTGCTGTACAAACTTACCTGTGCAGCTAGAGTTCCAATCCATATGCCAATAAAGATAGGGTTACTGAAGATGCCCTCTGCAATGTTGTGCTGGTTATGGATTTTACGAGCATTGATCTCATTAAACAATGTCATCATGACAAAAGTGTTGAAGATCATAGTAAAATGTATCGAGGGTGGGGCATGCACATTGTCCACATCAGCTGTACCGTCATCCAGACCCAGCAGCTCTGGTCCTGTTTGGGGAGACAATGAGGCACACGTTTCTAACTCTCATTACAATAACTGGCACATTCATTCATATCCACCTCTGACATTACATTAAAAAAAAATGTCCAGGTTTCAAGCATTTTTAAAAATAAGGAAACAGAGTTGATTGAAATATTAAGCAGTACATCTAACCTTTGAAGAGTAAAACGGCAATGACTGTCAGCTGGTAGATAGAATGAAACAAGATATTTTTAGCCATAGTGCGTGAAATGAGTGGCTTGGTTCGGCCGTAGGGCTTTCTGAGCAAGAGCTCATCAGTTGGTAACTCTGTGGCCAAGGCAAGTGAAGCTAGTGTGTCCATAATAAGATTTACCCACAACATTTGAATAGCTTTCAGAGGGCTGTCCTGCAATTGATACAAGTGATCAAAGTCAGCTAACTTATAATGTAACCCACAATTTTTTAAGTCATCCTAGTTGAGATAGGTAATACAAAATGTATACAAAAATATAATAACCATATTAATGCATTCAATGTTAGAGAATAAACTTTATTTTTTTTAGATATAATAGTAAACCAAGTTTGTAACTAAAATTTGCTAAAGAGATTTCACAAGAAACTAAAACTATTACATGTATTTTCATATTTTTAGTGCATTTATTAAAAAGAATTTTACAAAGTTTTATTTTCCAATTTTTAGTATCTTAGTATCTAAGAATATAATTTAAAAATAAAATAGTTTGATGATGCCATTAATGTAAAAATTTGAAACAATCTGCTAAGTAGCCAAACGAAAAATTAACTGTAACAACCGCGTGGGCCCAACTTACATTGATAATACAGGCACCAAAAAATGCCACAAGCACAGCTACTACATTGACTGTCAGCTGGAACTGTAGAAACTTGGCGATGCTGTCATAGACATTACGCCCCCACATCACTGCCTTCACAATACTGGTAAAGTTGTCATCAGTTAGGATAATATCTGATGCCTCTTTTGCCACATCAGTGCCAGAAATACCCTGAAAATGGATACATCAATTTTAAAACCTTACACTTAAATGCCAACAAGATGGCTGAAAATTCATGGGGGAAAAAATGTATTAATAAAACATCCAGTTTATTATGTGGTAACATTCAATTCAAACTAACTTTATTTTACATTACAAAAAATACATTCTTTAGTCTTGTCTAAATGTTTTCTACACAATGTTATCGCATAAGCTCAGAAGAAAATTATTGTGTGTCAAGGAAAACTTACCATAGCAAATCCGACATCGGCCTTCTTCAAAGCTGGCCCATCATTAGTACCATCACCGGTGACAGCCACAACCTGACGCGTTACCTGACACTTGCTGTCAATTATACCTTTCACAAGGACATACTTATCCTGGGGGGATGACCTGGCCAAGACACGCAAGTGAGGCCAAACTTTGTCCATTAATTCTTGGCTAACCTTTCAATTAAACATTTTTTTTTGTTCAAGTTATTTACATACAGCAATTTGCATTGTCTATAAGAAACAGTACTGATCAAAATAATGGAGAGATAAAATTTAAAGGAACAAAAATGGTGAAACTACAAAGAATAAAAATTAACTATCAAAAGTGATGGAACTACAAAGGATAAATTAACTTTGAACCAAGTGAGAAAATGAGCAAGAATGTAAATTATCTTTGAACCAAGTGAGAAAATGAGCAAGAATATAAATTATCTTTGAACCAAGTGAGAAAATGAGCAAGAAAAAAACTTACTTCACCCGTCTGGTCCCTGACTCTTCTGTTAAATTCTTTTCCTTCTAAAACTAGCCCTTCTTCCCCTGGTCTTAGGATACCACACTTGGCAGCAATGCTACGCGCTGTGTTTACATTGTCTCCAGTAACCATACGCACTGTGATGCCAGCTCTCTGACACTTTTTAATGGCTTCAGGTACCTGGTCAAATCAAACAAATTTGTCACTATATTAAACTATCTTAAGCAATTAACAATTTAAGTAATAAAATATTTAAACATCTAAGATGATCTTACATAAAAGCTAACAACTTGTACTGACCTCTGGTCTGACAGGATCTTCAATTCCCACAATACACACGCATGTCAGACTGCGATAAATACTTGGTTCATCATCCCAGTCAACACCATCCAGTGATCCTTCATTTTCAGCTTTTTCTCCTAAATCAAACATTCATTTGTGAATAACTGCACCAACTCTTTTTAGATAGTTAATTAACAGATTTTTTAAGATTAAAAAAATGAGTTTAAATATTAATTACCCCGAACAAAGTCTTTGTAAGCCAAACAAATTGTTCTTAACCCATCACTGGCCATTGGCTCAATAACATCATTAACCACCTTCTCTTGCTCTCGTTGGTTGAAAGGTACTGCAATACCACTTTCATTTAAGATATAGTCGCACCTGAGGAATAGACATGCAATTGTTCACAATTTTATGAAACATCATGTTAAACTCAAAAAGCTTAACATAAAAATTAGTAAATACAAAATAATGCAGTTTCCACAAAATACTAGTCATTTTCATATTTTCCTCTTAAGAATGAAACTTTTTACTCTCCTGTCCATCACATAACAAATAATCCAATTACCCCTGACTGAGATGCACTAAATGATTACAATTTATTTATAATTTACAATATAGTAGATGTAGCTATTTAGATGCAGTTGAATGGCAAAATTATATGATGACAAATTTATTTTTAATTAAAATAGTGCATCTGACATGACATATTTTGATAAATGTAATTTTGGTTAGTTCTACCAGTTTTGTATTAAACAATTTTGCATGTTTTATTAATGAATATCACTTTCAAATAAAATTGTATTAACCAATATCACTTAGCGTCAACCACAAACAACCACATAAACTAGAATTTTTTACTCACTTTTTAACCACTACTTCTGATGCTCCTTTGCAGAAGAATCTGTATGTGTCAGGTTGATCATCCAATTTTATCACCGTGCACATAGATTTACGGTCAGAGTTAAAAGTGTACACCTTCACGAGATTCTCTTCTGGGTACCTCTTCCTAATCTGTAAGTATTCATTTAGTTGTCTATATCCTAACACTACAAATAACAAGCTATAAATAAAACAAAGCAAAGAAAGACTGTGTTGCTGTGATTATTAACCTAAGGTCTTTCCTTTCCAAAATTATCATCTGTAGCATGACCAAAGTCAGATAGTTCAAAGTTCAGTAGTTCAACAAAAAGAAACACCATAAGAAACTAATGCGTTACCAACTTATTAACAAAACATTTTAATTAAAACCTCAATCAATACAAAGATAGAGACAGAAACATTACAAGAAAAGCAGGAAAAAAATTTAAAAAGATGCTGATTGTGAGGGAATTGTGTGAGAGAACGACTGGGCATAGTCTACAGACTCAAACAGAACTCTTTTCATAAAACATTACTTTATAAGTATGTAGCAAATGATGCATGGTCCATGAGGCAAATGTGGAAGAAAATAAAATTGTTCTATGATTAAAAGTTGTCTGTGGTACTCACGGCATCGTAGCTCTGATGCAAATTTTGAATAAATCCAAGCAGGGCACACTCTGTTTTGTTACCAAGTTGTTTGGGAAGTTCACCTTCATGCTCTGGTGGCTGAAAATATTCAAACCATCAAGAGGTCATTCAATACAATTCATCTTTTAGTCTTCAATCCAACAAAACTATAATTACATTATCCTGAAAAGCAATTTCTTATAAAACCCAAATTTTTTTATTACCTTATACTGATTATCTTATATTCAGCAGATGCTTCAATAGAAATTTAAGCGACAAAACCCAAAAAAATTTAAGCGACAAAAATCTTGATGTGTTAGTTCAGGCTAACTGGAACATAGACATACCTCTATTTTAGAAGTGTAGCCACTGTTAACAGAAATTGATTCCAGTATCAGCTGTCCAACTTTAGGATTTATCTGGCGAAATTCTGGAATTTCTCTGAAATGGCGACCTGAAAACATAATTAGTGAACATTTGTTCAGTAAAAACGCTATTCTTTATTACAATAGTCATAACAAAGGGCTCCAGAGAATGGAGATAAAACAAGCACAGTGAGCATATATTACTTACGCCCAATATAACTTTGTACCACTGTCATCCTATTGGTGGTAAGTGTCCCTGTCTTGTCAGAACAAATTGCAGTAGCATTACCCATTGTTTCACAGGCATCCAAATGTCTTACAAGGTTGTTATCATGCATCATTTTCTGAAGAAAAAACATTTTTTTTCTTCTCAAAAAGAACAGGGATTATAATCAGTACAAAATGAGGACGTATCTATATTTTTTAAAAATTACACGAAATAAAATCAGTATGAGACGTTTTTTTTTCTTCTCAAACAAAAACTAGATGGAATACGATCATTACATAGCAAATTTATTAAGAACAATTGAAAATTACTCTTGTACAAAAAAGTTCTGACCTTGACTGAGTAAGCCAAAGCCAAAGTTACAGCTAGGGGCAAGCCTTCTGGTACAGCCACCACAAGTACGGTAACACCAATGATGAAGTATTTCACAAACATCTCTATGTTACGTGTCGTATCATCTGAGGTCCATGATTTGCCTCGCACAACAAACTCTCTAATGCAGAACTGCACTATGAGAATGACCACTGTAAGCACAGCTATGGCCGTTCCTGTTGATATAAGATATAACAGTTAAAACACTGACCACTGCTACGACGAATAGGATTTACTAGACTTACTATTTATGACAAGCAGTTACTTATTTATGACTGCTTCAACTAAACATCTAGCAATTTCAATTCAATGGTATAGATATTTATAAGTATATATATAAGCTGTGCTTATATTTGAAGGGGAGGGGGATTGAAAAAAATGGCATAATTTGTTACTAAGATTATAAATACTGTGTATTATATGTTGCTTAAATTATAATATTAAATATTTTGAAAACCGCTATCTGTCACAGATATTTTAAATGCATTTCTCACTCACCGGCATAACCTATTTGTATTGCTAAACGAGTAAGCTTGGTCTGAAGTACTGATTTCTCCTTTCGAGAACTACTCTTAACTTTCTGTTCTGATTCAGACACTGCGACTGCTGGAGCTTCGGTTCTGTAGGCAACCTGTATCAGAGAGTTAGTTTGGTTTTAATGTGCACAAATACCACCCTGCTGCATCAAGCAATAGGTGAGGATGTTGTGGTGTTGTCAAGTTACCTGGTTGTTGGTTCCATCAACAGGATGTGCATTGCTGGCACCATGGGAGTTACTGTTGCCATCGTGAACTTTCAGCTGAATGTTTTCAATGTCTGTGAGAGAAAGCCAAGGGGAAAAAACTATTGAAGGGCATTTAAAAGATATAAGGGGATGATGATCTAAATAAAGCCAGCGTCTTGCTTTATTGATAAACCATTACACCTAACTTCTTGATGGATAATCATGTTTATACATGTACATATATAGATATACAAGCACGATGCTAGGCATGCCAATTATGTCAGATTCTTCCCACTATTATCTAGCACTTATCAAGTATGATGCACAAACATGCACAGTAACAGACAGCACAGTTTGAACAGCAAACAGTGTTAGACACACACTCTATTGGTAGGACAGAAGAATGGCAATATCTGCTTAAAACATCATCCATCTTTCTCTCAAACAAGGCTTTTATGAATGCTGTCACAGTTTCACCTCAAAACCTAATTTTCTAGAGGAAGGAGGAAATAAAAAACACCTGCACACAGCTACGACTAGGGACAGAGAAACAAATGCTAGTAATGCAAATGAAATCACACACAGCTTTTGTCAGCAGTAAATGAAATTTCTAGACAGATCTTTGAAAAATGAGAGTACAACAAAACATGCTGTACATGCTGACAAATGAGATGAAAATAAAATACACATGTGAGAAACGTCACATTTCCTCTCAAGTGATGCGACTCAGTATTAAGCCTGTCAAGTTTTTGTGAAAACCCATTTCTAAAATCAATTCTACGATGGGAAAAAAAACCCATTGGAATTAAGTTCTGGCTCCCCCTTTTTTTAAAACTCTTTAGCCTATAAATGGGGGAAGTTAATCAAGTGAGGACAAAAAGACAAAGGGAATGTGAAGGACAACTAGAAACACTGGTCACAATAATCAAGTAATTTAAGACGAAAATAAAAATAAATAGTGCACCAATAGACACTGAAAAGACAAGGAGGTCTACAATAAAAGCCATTGGTTTATATGGGTTACATACAGACCATCTAATTATGAAAGAAAAGAAGTGGATTAATTTCTATGAATTTTTCTCAAATGTCCTTTTATATAGTACATATATTGAATTGATTTTTCATCTTTCATTGAGTTGGTACAATTTTATAATTGAAAGTGTACTGGTTAATGCATTTAAAATTTACAGCTCTTCATATAACACTAGTAAACTTTACTGCATAAAGAACAGAATACGGCATTACAATGAGATATACCCAATTCTACTGGATGGAGTAACTTATATTGAAAACACACCACACAATGTAACAAAACAAGAAACAAAAATAAATAAATTAAAAAGAATAACTACTAAACAACACCATCAGTACATACAACTGCTGCTACACAGAAACAAAACTGTTAATAAAGAAAATTTTAAAGCTAGTAGATTTACTTTATTCTTCTTACTTCCTCTAACCAAATCATTCTTCAAGAAATTTGTGTTTTCAATTTGATTTCCCTCTCATTTCAAACAAAGAAACTGTTAGGTACAACACTCAAGGGACAACAAGTGAGGGGAGACAACAAGTGAATACACTGGTAGAAATGGCCAATTCTTGTCAGTGTAATTTCTCAAACACATCAACATGTTCCTACAGCAAGACAAATACAAACCACATTAACAAACACAAAAGCATTCACCTACCGGTTTTGGCATCACTGTCGTTAGAGGGGATCACTAAGAAAAAAAATTGAAAACAAAAAAATCACAAACAAGGAAAAGAAAAAGTCACAAGCTAAACTAAAAATAGTTACCTGTCTAGGGAAACCAATTGAGTACCAAGGAGAAAAGTGGGCAAGTAGTTCAAGCATATGAAAACAAACATCTAAAATGGCTTAATTCGCTCATTCTCAAGCAAAAAGATACGACCAACCCCTCCTTAAACAAGTATTACCCTCAATAAGGCAGCTTTTAAATCCAAGCCATTCTTTATTGATATATAACCAATGGGTATGTGTTATAACAACTGGAAAAGGTGTTAATAATTGTGCACTACTCTATCTTGATTCTTAATTAAAACAATTTTTTTTGCTTGATCATGAGGTTAGAACCAGGTGTGTTTCGGGCACTGTTAAGTGAAGATTTTTTTTAGTAATCAGAATGTGTTTTATTTAAATTTTGTTCAACACCCAGGCCAAATGTGTAACAAATGAGAAAACAGCCCCAACTTATCAGTGCCCCTAAATGGTAAGCTTAAGTAACTTTGTATGCAATCAAATGATGCAGGTGCCGCACAGCATTGAGCATTCAAAATTTACATGCCACAAATTGTGATTGGCTTCATTGTCCTTCTTTGGAACACATACAAGAGCAATGTGAATAAAGAAAACTATTTCCACTTCAGTCTAAACCATGCAAGTCAGACGCCTGTTTGAACATTTTTCCTTGGAGCTGAATACAGTCTTATGAGCTACTGCATCATTCAAATGCCAGAGTGGAGGTAAGACCACTCATTAATGGATTGTAATGCATAGCAATTAAACCTAACTTATTCTACAGTTAGTAATGGCTTAGTAAGAGTTAACTTATATATATTTTTAATAAATATATATACATAAAAACTGAAGAAAATTTAGAAGAGAGGACATGGTTAATTGCCATTTAGAAATTACAATGCAATGCATGTATATATAAAGGCAAGCAGAAAGCAGTAGAATGCATGAGTTAGACATCTAACAGTACCATATTTGGATTCAGGACCTTGAAGTATTATAATGGTGGTGTTGTCAATTTTAATCCATTTATTTTGAATTGAACTTAGATAACAATTAGTAAATGACAAGGACCTGCATTACAGTAAATAAATGTTTAAAACAATTATACAAAATTGTTCACAAAAATGGTGAGAGATGCTTTTGAATTTACTTTTACTCACTTTTGCAATGAATTTAAAGATAAATGCTCATCTATTTAAACACATAAATTTTCTAACATCTCTAACCATTTCTTAAAGAAATTTAAAACTCAAGTAACTCATTGCTCATCACTTGACTTTTAAAAATCTTCCAACAACACCAGTTCTACTGTCTTTATCTGAAACTGAGGGATTTTTTTTTTGTTGAATATTGGCACTAATAGAGCACTAATTGTAGAAAAGAAAGTATTTCAGTTAATATCCAAGTTATAACAAATAGGTGCAACACTGGGTGTAAGCTCAAACAGAATGGTCAAATCAAAACATCTAAAGCAGCTACAAGCAAAGTGACACCAGCACAAGTTATAAAGGTATCAAGAGTTCATTCCCCTATCCAACCCAGACTTAGATCATGGAGGAATTCTTTAATGACCCCTGTATGGATTTAGTCAGGTTAACTCAAAATTTAAAGTGAACAATCGTTAAGGATAGTCTTTTTTTACAAGAGCAAGTGAACATAATGTGAACAAGCTGAAATTTCATTTTTTATCTGTAATTAACCAAATGAAAATGGTTGAAAAACAAAATAAAATTTATATTTAAAACAAAATATGTGTAATTAAACAAAATTAAACATGTTGAATCTTTTTAATAATAAATAGTATTGTAACAAAAAGTAAAAATAAATAAATGAATGAAACAGAGTTGTAAAAAAAAAACAATAGAACAAAGCATAACTTTAGAACAGCATAAATGAGGAGTAGAAGTCAACAAGTCTTTTTTATTTTTTTACCATCTGAACAGGAATGTACCTGTTTAAGATGACCATTATCTATTTTACTTTTTCTATAAATGAAATCTAAGTCTGAAGATGATCTTTAGCTTTTCTAAATGTGCCATCAAAGATGATCCTTAAATAATGAAGCAGCATGGCACAACAAATGAGCTGATAGACAACCATAATGTAAATAAAGTGCTGAGTCTTTAGAAATACAGCAACCATCTCAACAGAATGTGGACTACATTTTTAAATAAACAGTTTTGCCAATCATGTATGAAAAGTTTGGCTATTGTTTGATTATACAGTAGAAGAATGAGAAGCCGAGTTGAAGTAAAGCAACAGAAATTGACTTTAGTAAAAATACCTTCTACCATCCTAACAGTTATATCCTTAAACACTGAAGAAGTCATGAAAAACACAAAAATTAACACATCTAACAGCATCCCAACAAACAAAAAAAAAAAAAAAAAAAAGAAAAATCAAAATTAAATTAGGGATGTTTTCAAATTAAAACAAATCAAACCTAAACAAAAGAAAGTTAAAGGAAAAAACCTCTTCCGCCTCCCCAGCAAACTTTAACTGAAATTTATCAAACTTGCAGTTGATATTATTAAAATAAACAATTTCCAATTTCTTCAAAAAACAAAATAAAAAATTAGCATGCAACTAACTGATATAGCAACAACAGTAGAAATACAACAATACATGCTTGGTCAAATAAACAGTATCAAGATTTTTAAAAATTTGGGAACATCACTAAAGACTAGCTAAAAATATATAGAAAATAAATCCCCACAAATGGAAACTTCCCCTCATTGTTTTAGGCCAATCCCACATAGTTTAACTAAGCTGTAGACCAAAACACTGCCATAAACATAAGGCAACTATAATATTGTATATCCAATATACCAACAAATAGAACCATTTGGGTAAAAAAAAAGCCCACAAGAAACCACCAACTTCTTTTTACTTAAACAGTTTGAAGTTATGTCAACAAAAAAAATGAGAAGATAAAGGTGGTGTGTTATAAATGATGTCGATGTATGTAACGAGATGACAAATGTGGTGTAAATTGTTCATGATGTGCAAAGTGCTGTTGTATTTTCTTGGCTATTGTATTCAGTAATCATGCAGAGAAAAAAATGTTTCCACAAAAATGCTGCCAAGATGCTTTTGTAACATGCAGATAAATCCAAGTTTCTTCATTTAGTAACCGCTATAATTATATTAGTGGTAAGTAGAATCAGTTAAAGAACTTTTCTCAATGAATCTGAAAAGGTCTAAAAAAATGTTAATAAATTAGGTTGATATTATTATCTGTTTGAACATTGAAGAGATATGAGAGAAATAAACTGCTGGAAGTTTCCATCTGTTCATTGATGAGAAAAGCAATGAAGCAAACTTTGAATGATAAAAAAGCGCAAGAAGACAATGGTCACATTCCATAAGCCTGTAAGAGCATGTGTGTTGCATGCAATAGTTCACTTATGCAATACTCATGCCCTAAAAGGATGGTTTACTTATGCTTTACATTTTTATGAATCATATGGTGAGTATCTATCTAAGTGTGTTTATGTTTATGTATAGATGTGTTTGTATACACATTATATATACACATTATATATACACATTATATATACACATATATACACATTATATATATATATATATATATATATATATATATATATATATATATATATATATATATATATATATATATATATATATATATGTATAAATATTATATATGTGTGTGTGTGTGTATTTATATATATATGTATGTGAGTATGTGTGTCTATGTATGTATGTGTATAAGTATGTGTGTCTCTATACATATACAAATATATATATGAATGTATACTTATATTCATTATAAACAAACAGAAATACATTTTTTCTGTATATTTGTATGCCTAAGTGTGAAATTAGCAGTTAACAGGCATAGATTGGGTTTGAGATAGCATTATTCTAATGTATGAAAAAAAAACAGAATTCACAATAAAATGCAAAAGGGTAATTCAATCCAAATATGAAAACAATCTGTTATATCCAAGTATGCAAAATGAAGGAATTTTAGGCATGCAATGTTTAGATTAACAGTATCAAGAATGTGGGAGACTTACGTGGCTTCTTCTGCTCCAGGTCCTTCCTGTCCACGCCTGAAAGTTAGAGAGTTATAGAAGAATGCAAACAATGAAGAGTTCAGTTAACATTGTTAGGGCCCTATTTTTTTTCTAACAAGATTAAAAATGGCTGAAACCTCTAGACAGGTTAGCTTGTTATTTAGGGATAATTGAATTGGCCATTGTAGAAAGGTATGACGGGAAATGCAAGAAAAAATTGAAATTTTTTTTAACCTCAAATAAAATCAATATTAGTCAATCCCATTAAAAATGAGTATAGGATTTGTACTTTGTTTTCATTTATCTTTAAGGTTGTAAATAATTTGAATAATTTCTTGCACTTTTAGATGCTTAATAATGACAATGTACTTCCAGCTCTTCACAATATTCAGCTATTTTTTCTAGTAATGTATACATTTACAATTTCTATATAACAAAACTACTTTTATTTTTCCTTATTGTATGTTTGGTTGATGCCAATTGTATTTACGTTGAAATATTTTGATTGTAAAAAATATCAGAAGTTTGATAATTTTCATTAAAACTATAATTTCAATTTAGAGAATGTTTCAATTTATCCTATGACTTTAAATAATATTCTTTTCAAATCTAGTTATACGGTTTTTACACGCAGCGCTTTGATTCACATTTAATGAGATAAAAAAAATTGTATTCAAATTAAATTTAAAACTTGTATCTGACTGAATGTATTATCTCTTTGATTTACTTCAGATGTTTGTAATTTTAAAGCAGTGAAATTGTCTATAAGAACAACTAAGACAGACGTGTTGTCCTTCAGTCCAAGAGAAGCTGTAGGAAAATGTTCCCATCATGTTACGGAAATGATTAGAAGTGATCAGAATAGATGAGAAAATGTCTGAAATAAACATTATCAAGTGCTAAAAGCCACAGAATTCTTCTACTAAATTGACTAAAACAAAGATTATGACAACCACTGCAGTATATCACAATACAGCATTGAATGCTATGCAGACAACATATAAAAAGAAGAAAAAACACACTAGCAATTCTTAAAATAGAATGTGATGATGGTAAATCATTTCTCTTTTTAAAAAGTACAACTTTATTTTTATGTAAAGAAAGGATCTAAAGACAAGAATATCTAATTAGTTACTTCCTAGGATGAAAAATAAAACATCGAGGACAGCTATGTAGGTATAGCTTGATTTTACTATAACTTCAAGGGAAAGTAATGTTTTTTTTAAAATAAATAAAATAGAAACAAACAGGTCATGTAGGGGTGTAAAGCTTTTAAATAAAATCAACAAAGCCTGAGTTAACCAAAAGACTGACTGGACACACTGGATTAAGCAGGGTCAATATCTATCATTTCAAAAATAATGGCTCACTTTACCTTTAACAGCTACTAAACGAACATCTGACGTCAAAGAGTGGAATATATAAAATCCAATAAGTTGGTTTTTTTTTATCTATGATGTGTGCTTTTTATTATTTGCTTCTATTAATTTCATATTTTAATTGATTTTTTTACTTTGATAACCTTTAGTGTCATACTTCCTACTGGTTAAATTATTATTTATCTTTTACTAAAAAAAAACCAATTTTCATTCTAAATCTTTAGCATGATTTAGAAAGGTATTTTCTGACTAGAATATTTCTATATCTAGCTATTTATTTTCAATAATTTTCAAATTTAGGCAAACACACAAATAGTACAAGGACAAAAATAATGCTCCCATCATGCTAATGATTCCATAATGAGTGAATGCACATGTAAATGACTCACAAGACTATTCTTACTTAAACATTCCAAACGGCTTTTAGGTTATAGACATGCACAAATGGCAGGTATGATGTATCACTCTCCGTTAATTTGAGTCCTCCAAGCACATACAGTTCAAGCAGTTTAGCATGCTTATTAAAATGTCTGTATATGATGATGATGAATGTGGATTGTTGTGTTATTCAGGAAAAGAAGTATACTTTGTCCAGTCCTTTTAGTGACATAAATTGGTAACTAAATGAGTTTTGCTTTGGAAAAATGTGTTTTGCCCTATCAAGTGGTTGAAATATCTGGTGGATCAGCTATCTTTTCTCTCAAACAACCATCAAATTAAAAATAAAAAGCTGCAAAATTGATGACATCAAATGTGCTGGTTTTTTCTTGTGACTATGGATGGGAAACAGAAATTAAGTTGATCAGAAAAATGTGTTACCAGCTTCTTTGTCAGCTTCTTCCTTCTTTTTCTTCTTCTTCTTTTCCTTTCCTTCCTCTGTGTTTTCATTGAGAAGCGCAAAGATGATACCCGTTTGGGAGTTGGGTCCAACAGCAGTAACCAGCATCTTGCCACTGCCTTCCATGACATGAGTACCTACAAACAAAATGTTAAACACATTGCATCAGATTTGCAAAAAAAAAATAGAACTTGTATTTGTTTTTACAACTTTTTAGATAGATTCAGCCCAAACCACTCACTAATCTAAAACAACAACGTTAAAGTTAATTAAAAAAAAGCTGGATTTGTCTGATCAAAGTGATGATGTAATTATGACATGCTGTTTTAAAAACAGCATCAAAACTGAGATATTTTTTAATTAATTCACTAAATAGTGTACAAAAAATGGCGTAATATAAATTATTTCCTAGAATATATTCATCAGGTGATAAGGACATTTTTTTTAAAAATCCTCTAGCTAGAACAACCCAACTGATTACATAAAACACCATGCTAGGATAAAATAACTGATTCCATGAAATTCATGTTAGGACATAGCAGTCACCTAAAAGAACAGACTAGTCCTGTAGTCTACTTTGCCATTTTAATGACTAAAATCTTCAATTTCAGATTTCTCTCTACACAAGACAACTCATTACCTGAGAGTAGCATGGGGTCCCTGTTCTCCCCTTTTTTCACGTGGTCAGACTCTCCTGTCAATGAACTTTCATCTACCTTAAGGTCATTACTTTGTATAATGATGCCATCAGCTGGCAAAAGATCACCTAGAAAAGTAGTAATGAAACTTGTATGGTTAGTTTGTAAATAGTTTTTGTTCTTGTTTTGAATGTACCTATCCATACTTTTCTACAAGTGTGATCTTAGAGAATATCTGGTAAATCAGTTGGATGATGAGTGTCATCTTATAGCTCAAATAAAATTTTTAAAATACAAACACACACTTAAACTTACACATATACACCAAGCACACACACACACACATTATATATATATATATATATATATATATATATATATATATATATATATATATATATATATATATATATATATATATATATATATATATATATATATATATATATATATATATATATATATATATATAAAATAACATAAATGTATAAATGTATACATTTGCATGTATATACACACACATTCATACACACACACATATATATGCATTATACTTATGCATATATATATTTACATACATAAACACACAATTGTGTAACCAAGCGTACACACACACACACCCGGATACATCTAATGTTACATTTTGCAACTATAAACATTAAGGTGGGCCAATGTAGATGTGTCTGCAGGGACTTACCATATTTGACTTGGCAAATGTCTCCCACAACTAGGGAGCCGACTGGGATCTGCTCAACCACACCCTTGCGGAGGGTAGCAAATTTATGTTCATGTTCAATTCTACTCTGTAGACCACGGAACTGCTTTTCTTTGCTCCAGTCATTAAAAGCAGTAACAAGCACCACAACAACAACAGCAACCAGGATAGCCAGACCATCAATCCAGCCGGCAGCTTCTTCAATGTTCCCTCCTGCGACCTCATAAGTGTCTTCCTCTCTGACGCCAGCTAAAAGACAAATTTAAAAATTATTAAGCATTAGATTAATTAAAAAGTTACATATAAAAGATCAAGTTTAAGAATGTTTAGCTCTACAGAAAAGATGGCTTTTTTTATACATTTCAGTTTATCAATAATAAAGGACACAAAATAATGTCTAACTTGTTAAACTGAAAGCTCTAGATTGAGTTAGCTTAAAAAAATCTGCTCTGCTGCCTATGTATTAAAAAAAATTACTATTTCAGGCATAATTTTTCTTACCTTGGTTATCCTTAGGAGCTTTATAAAATGATAATCCTAGAGAAATGATGGCAGCAACAATGAGAATGATTAGTGTAACATCTTGCAACGCCTCCCAAACTAACTGCAGAAAACTTTTTGGAGGTTTCGGTGGAATCACATTAGAGCCAAAAATCCGCCGTCTTTGTTCAATGTCTGTCTCATCCAGACCTGAAGAGAAACAAGTTCATTGTCATCACTACGTATCAAAGAGAAACAAGTTCATTGTCATCACTATGTATCAAAGATAAACAAGTTCATTGTCATCACTATGTATCAAAGATAAACAAGTTCATTGTCATCACTACGTATCAAAGAGAAACAAGTTCATTGTCATCACTATGTATCAAAGATAAACAAGTTCATTGTCATCACTATGTATCAAAGATAAACAAGTTCATTGTCATCACTACGTATCAAAGAGAAACAAGTTCATTGTCATCACTAGGTATCAAAGATAAACAAGTTCATTGTCATCACTACATATCAAAGAGAATACAAGTTCATTGTCATCACTACATATCAAAGAGAATACAAGTTCATTGTCATCACTACGTATCAAAGAGAAACAAGTTCATTGTCATCACTACATATCAAAGAGAAACAAGTTCATTGTCATCACTACGTATCAAAGAGAAACAAGTTCATTGTCATCACTACATATCAAAGAAAAACAAGTTCATTGTCATCACTACATATCAAAGAGAAACAAGTTCATTGTCATCACTACATATCAAAGAGAAACACCAGCTGAATCATTTCCAGACATTTTTGTATAAAGTTTAAACAAGAGTGGATAAATTCTAATTGAAAAAGATTTACCAAGGACTGGATCTGTTCGAAGATTTCTGCACATCTCCACTACACCCCCATATTTGGTGTTGAGCAAGTCTATACCCTCCTGACCCCGGTGCTCCATCAGGCTCCCCAGCTCCTCCACGGTCAGGCCATAGGGGGCCCCACCAGGGCCAGGCCCCGAAGCGTCCATGCTTTATGACTAAATCACCTCCTCACACTTCTAAAGACAAAAAAAGAAAATTTGTTTAAAAAAAATGTCATAGGTAGAAAAAACAATGCCCCCCAAAAAGTGCTTAATTTTACAACATACAAAAGCAAAAAAAAAATCATATTTTTAAAATAAACTTTGCAAACTTATTTTTTAAACATCAAATGAGAATCATTATCTTTTATTTTCCAAGGCAAATAATAACTTAATATTGCCTAAGCCTACCATTTATTAGTAAGAAATTAAGCCCAATAATAAATCATAAAATGATAACCTAATCATCAAACTCATGAAATCAGGTCTTATGGTGAAAGAAACCAAATGGCCTTAGTTAAATCAGTTACCCCACTGAAAAGTTACCAAACCAAGTATGATGTAGAGTAACAAGAAACTGTAGGTATTTCCAGTACTGTTCTTAAAATAAAATAACCCTCAACGATAATGATTGACCATTAAGAAGGACAGATGAAACAAGTCTCCGTGTGCAGGGAGGAGAAGGGTGTTGACTCAACAAATTAACGCCAGAATAAGAGCAAGCAGCTGCAGATGACGTAACCAGGAAGGGTTCTTGATCTATGGCAACCATTTCTGGTGTTTAAATCACACCAACACAGTCGATCACACCAACAAAGTCGATCACACAATCGATTTAATTGACCTGAACCAGAACGATGGGTGGGGCGGTGGGGTTATTTTTGCCTTGCGTATGTGTACAAATACGCGTGCGCAGTTAGGCTGTGTTTGAGATATTACCGCGGCTGTTGGGTCTTTGCTATAGAAACCCACCAAGTGTGTGTGGATCGCCTAGGTTACCACATCATTTAGCTAGCGTAGAGTTCAAATGTAGTAAAGAAGTGCTCCTTTTTAAAAAAACTATTGAGATTAGAACGTTTCTATGATAAAGTTATTAGCTAGGCTAAAATAACAGACCACACACGAAAAAAAAAAGGCACAGAGATATTTGGACATTAGATTTTTGCCTGTTCTACTTTTTCAAACACCCGTGTGGAGCGGCATTGAGAGATTCAACAAAAGTAAGATTTGGGACTACTACGTGTTAGTGTGTGTGGTCAGAGATACACATTGACACGGCAGTAGAGGAGGGATGGGGGGGGGGGGATGAAAGTAATGGGACACGGCAATACAATGTAGATGACGCAGTATCCAAACATACCGCTGTCACCAAGGGAACGGGCTCTGTTGACAATTAAGTTATTTAAAGTGGGGGAGCGAGGCAACAAATGTACAAACTAAAACTACTGAAACAATCCATGACGATGTATGATGCAGAATTGACAGTAATTATAAGACCTTTGCTTCTATTGTTTACTAAAAAAAATTGTACTTGGGGCCGGATTCTAAAAAAAAACCCTCTCCCTTAGGTTAGATCTACCTGTAGGGTGATATAGGGGAGGCTAAAACTCTAGAAAAAACTGCATATAATGAATTACAATAATATAACATTTAACTAGCGGTAACACCCCCCCCCCCCCCCCCCCGCGGCAATCGATCCACTGATACACTCATCGCAAAGCATCTACAAGGTCACGTGTCGGCCGATGTCAAAATTTTTACACGAAGCCGTGAGCTGCGATTTATAATTAGCATGACAGTTTCGTGTTGCAGAATGGTTTAGGGGTGGGGAAATAGCCAGCTGCACGTTGATGCCTCCTCAAGGGGAGATGGCACATTTCGCCCATGCCCTGAGCTCACACTGCCAGTTGTAAAGCAACCTGTCACGCTAGGCCTCGTCAAGAAAAAAAAAATTAAATCCCCAGCAAAAAAAAAAACAAAAAAAAAAACAACAAAAACGTTAGGAATCTCAAAGTGCGATTTTCAAACACTTTTTTCCCCAGCCAATGCCTGGTGGTTTAACTAGTTGGCGGCTGGCTGTGATAGCCCTTGCTACCAATGTAGATCTAGAGGGCTGATCAGCGCGGAACGTAAATGTAACGTTTGCATTTTCATCTATCACTGTCAACATGTCCATTTAGCTCTGTTGGCCATACCAGCAGAATATTTTATATAGTATCAGTTGCACTGGCTTATACATGAGGGAAAACTGGCTGGAAGCTTTAAAATGATGGATAACAATAGGTTTATTCTGCTGTGGATTCGGTTTTACGGTGACGTAGTATTAAGTCGACTTAATACATATAAAGTATAACATCTTTGTATTATCTAGGTTGATGTATAAAATACCAGGAGACCCCGGATATAACAATGATATAACCTGGGTCTAGCGATCGAGTCGCGTGCATCCGTTCGCTACTTCACGAGGACAACTGTGGTGTGCAGTATCGGATACTGACGGAGGGAAAGGGGGGGGGGGCTAATAAAGTTGAGATCGTGAGCGCATCAATCAAATGGATTTACCACAAGCCATCGCTGGAACCTAATCAAGAATAGTGGCCAGCCCCCTGAGACAATCACACGTAAACCACCCCGTACACGTAAACCACCCCCGTACACATTCCGTGATGGCTTAATCTAAGTGTAGTCATTTTCATTCATGCTTCAGTTTTATCCCTAAATGCAAATCGATTTTTTTATCTATTATAAAACAATGCATTCATTACAGCCTGTTTTTTTTTTTATTATGTAATGTATTATAAGTTCGGCTATATGACTCCGCATATACTAGGACGCATAAACTAATTGAGCTCGGCCTAGTAACGTAATGCGGCCATCTCGAAGTGATACTTTTTTGGCATGTTCAGAAATAGCCCCAGCTAAACGTCCAGACGATCAAACTCACCCGATGATCACATATGGTACGCGTACAATCGATAAAAGACAATCAATATCCGAGAGAAAGAAGGTAGTGGGTGCTCATTTACTCCCCCCCCCCCCACACCCCTTCCCATTTCAGCGAGTTCATTTCCTCGTTTGTCTGCCAGTAGTAGTCGCTGGTCTGCTAGTAATTGGCAGAGTTTTTTCTTATCTCCCCATACGTCTCCTACATTTCTGCTGGTCTCATCTAATCAAAAGAGGGGTTAAACGGAAGGTGTGCCTGCGTGTTACCAGCAAGGTCATGTGCAATGTCAGGCGCAGAGTGTAGGTAACTCACCTCCAGCAGGCTGTCGAGTCAGGTCCGACTGGTGTGGGTATAAACAAGAAAAAAATGCCGTGTCTGGTAGCAGACTACAGCCATTACAGATCGTATATCGGTTAAAAGAAATATTTATACTGAACACAATTTTTTTAAACATTTTTTTTAGAAATCAATCAGCTGACAAGAAGATTGTTTTTAATTTTCAATCAAGTAGGTGCAACTCATTTATATTCCACTCTACTCTCCCCCCCCCCCCCCCTCCAATAACCTAATGCTAGGATTTGCCGAGGCATGTGAACACGCTGCACATTATAAACATACTCATCTACAAAAGGTACACTACAGTCTACGGACTACAAATAAATCCTAGCTTGCTCTGGTCTCTACAGCAGGCTATGAAAATACGGCCTTAAGATTTGATGGAGCAAACAAAACTACCCAACTAAATGCAGAATCGTCCAGTACCATAGTAATACGAGCACCAGAATATTCACGCGTCAAGTATTGTGTAGATACACCAAACCACACAAGATTCGACACAATAAGGGCAGAGATACAGAGATCAAATTTTGTAATTCCCTTCTGTTGTGAAGATTTGAGACACGGTTTAAAGGTTGGTTTTTCCCCCCAGCTTTTTAATGTAACGATTATGTCTAGTGTTTTAACCAAGGGGTAGTGTACAAAGAAAACTATGAAAATCTGATCTAAACTCAACCCAAGGTTATTAAAATATTCATGTTTTGGGCAGAGTTCCAAATAGAAAGCGAAAAATGTGTATAGAATAGTGAAGGTTAGACAGTGGAACAAAAAAAAAAAGGAAAAAAGAAAGAATAGATTTACCAAAGGTGGGGGGAAAAGGAGCGGGGCAGCATTTAAAAAATCATCATCAAGCAGGAAAGACAACTCTAGGGAAGGTAAATGAAGGATCTATCGTAGCGGCTAAAAAAGGGGGGAAGGGGGCAAGGAAATGTTAGTTGTACAGCTCGAGATAACTCTGGCGTTAGTAGTTGGATAATAAACACGTTCACATGGATGAATCAACAGGTGTTTTCTTAAGAAGCATTTCAACAGGTCAAGTAACTAGACGGTGTGACGTAACAAGTGTTGGTCTGGGTCCTTTCGCCAAGGGACGAATTTGAATCTGGTATCATATCAGACCAGTGTCAGCCGGCCGTAAAAATGTTTCAGATTGAAAACTTTTGTTGTAACCAGCGAAGATCTTAAAAGAATGAAGCTTTAAAAACAGGAAACAATAAGAGTTGACACAAAATAAGGAAAACACTGTTGTAATTGGTACACAAAATTGTCAGCAAGATGGTATAATACACAAAATATGGCAAACACGATGGTAGTATGTACACAATATTGTCAGCAAGATGGTATAATACACAAAATATGGCAAACACGATGGTAGTATGTACACAACATTGTCAGCAAGATGGTATAGTACACAAAATAAGGCAAACACGATGGTAGTTGGTACACAAAATTGTCAGCAAGATGGTATAGTACACAAAATTAGGCAAACACGATGGTAGTTGGTACACAAAATTGTCAGCAAGATGGTATAGTACACAAAATTAGGCAAACACGATGGTAGTTGGTACACAAAATTGTCAGCAAGATGGTATAGTACACAAAATTAGGCAAACACGATGGTAGTTGGTACACAAAATTGTCAGCAAGATGGTATAGTACACAAAATTAGGCAAACACGATGGTAGTTGGTACACAAAATTGTCAGCAAGATGGTATAGTACACAAAATTAGGCAAACACGATGGTAGTTGGTACACAAAATTGTCAGCAAGATGGTATAGTACACAAAATTAGGCAAACACGATGGTAGTTGGTACACAAAATTGTCAGCAAGATGGTATAGTACACAGAATATGGCAAACACGATGGTAGTTGGTATACGAAAAGTATGCTAGTTTGGTGAAACATAAAAGAGAAGG